CCGTGGGAGTAATTGCCACTGTCTTAAAGCAAGCAGCCGTATCTAGCGAAAGGACTCGAGGCCAGGGTTTCAGTTCCAGTTTGAATAGTGGACAATGTTGTGACTTTAGGCAGATCTCTTGGTGTGTTTCCTGCAGAGAGGAGATATCTCACTGGTTTGCTTTACAGGACTCTTAAAAATTATTTGTGATCTGGGCAGTGGTGGTACACACCTTTAATCCCAGCACATGGGGGGCAGAGACCGGTGGATCTCTGTGAATTCTAGGCCAGCCTGGTCTACAGAGCGAGTTTCAGGACAGGCTCCAAAGCTACAGAGAAATCCTGTCTCAAAAAACAAAACAAAAAAATATCAACAACGGGGGGCTGGAGAGATGGCTTTTTGGAAGAGCATTGCCTGCTCTTCCAAAGGACCTGAGTTCAATTCCCAGCAACCACATGGTGGCTCACAACCATCTGTAATGAGGTCTGATGCCCTCTTCTGGCCTGCAGGCATACACACAGACAGAACATTGTATACATAATAAGTAAATAAATATTTTTAAAAAATATCAACAACAAAAAATATTATGAGCCAGTGGTGGTGGAAATGCCTTTAATCCCAGCACTCAGGAGGCAGAGGCAGGTGAATTTTTGAGTTCGAGACTAGCCTAGACTACAGAGTGAGTTCCAGGACAGCCAAGGCTACATAGAGAAACCTTGTCGCAAAAAAAAAATCCAATACATAAATAAGTATTATTTATGTTATGCATGTATGCATAATGGATGTTTCTGGGCACGTGTGCTGTGACGTGGTGTGGAGGACAGAGAACAGTTTTGTGGCGCTAGTTCTCTCCTTCCACTTTTACGTCGGTTCTGGGAATTAACTCAAGTTGCCTGTCTTACCCAACAAGCATCTTTGTCCCGAGTCATCTTACCAGCTCTTGTCTCACGTGAGTCTTATGTGGATTAAATGAGATGATAAATGTCAGAAAATCTCTAAGTATTAACAATGAAGTTTAAATGTGGTATTATTTAGGTCTACCATCTTTCTTTTTCTTTCTTGGTTTTTTGGTTCTTCAAAACGGTATTATATTGCCTGGCTTGAACTTGTTATGTAGCCAAAGATGACTTCCTGATCCTATTGCTTCTACCTGCCCAATGCTTGATTACAGCCCTTCACCACCCTGCTTACGTATACTTTTGAGGTGCTCAGATAATAACACAAGGGCAGGCCTTGGCCTCAAGTCTGTTAGACACGAAGATCTTAGGAATCTCATGAAGTGTACTGAGTCAGAGAACCTCTTTGTGGCTGTCGTTCCATCTCATCCTCAGAAGAAACTCTCAGATAGGTAGGGCTTAATTCCTGAGGAAAAAGAGGACTCAGAAGATCACCTGGTTTCGGAGAGGGCAAACCGCTTCATTGGTTTAGAGTGTGAAGCCTAAATGCTCCAGTGTTCACAGCCTGTGGGTAAGCAGCACCCGGTTCCGCTCCAGCTCTCTGATTCTGCAGTGCTCACCGCAGGCCCTCTTTTTACAGATGTAGCACTCAGGTCCAAATCGTTTGGCCCAGGCTCTAGACTGAATTACTTGAGCATTTACTTTTTAGGACCTATTGCTTCTTTAAAACTCCAGAAGAAAAAAAAATAATAAATTAAACCCCCAAGAAAAAGCTGCCTTAAAGTTGGCACGACCTCTTGAGGCAGCTGTGGCACACGCTTGAGTTATTTGGGATTGATCATCAGTTCTGTGAAGCCGGGCTTTGCTTTTGGTCATGTTGGTTGTCATTTGTTTAGCGATGGGGTCTCATGTAGCCAACTGTCCCTGAACTCACCATGCAGCTGAGATCGACTTTATTTTATTTTATTTTTTTAAAATATTTATTTGTTATGTATACAATATTCTGTCTGTGTGTATGTCTGCAGGCCAGAAGAGGGCATCAGACCTCATTACAGATGGTTGTGAGCCACCATGTGGTTGCTGGGAATTGAACTCAGGACCTTTGGAAGAGCGGGCAATGCTCTTAACCACTGAGCCATCTCTCTAGCCCCTGAGATAGACTTTAAACTCCTGATCATCCTGCCTTTTTCTCCCAAGTGCTAAGGTTACAGGCATGTGTCTCCATACTGAAGTATAGTGACACTTTTTTTTTTTTTTTGCAATGCATAGGATAGTATTCTGCTTCTAAAAGCTACTGCTGAATGAACTGGGGGAGGGGAGCCTATGAATTACACAATACATGGTCTCTGTTGAGTTTGAGCTTCTGATCCATTCATTTGTAGCTCTGCTGGTGACCAGTGTGTCTTTTGTTACAGGTGGAATTGGGCCAGTCGCTGAAGCTCATTTTCTCAGCCCACGAAAATTTTTACATTTTGATTTTTGCCTTACAATGGCTTCCATTCACAAATTACTGGCTGGTACTTATATTCATAGAAACTTCCTGAAGCCAAGGGCTGCCTTGCATCCATTTATGGGTATTCTCTCCGTAGACTATTCTTCCAGTCATCTTCAGAAACCGGTGGCTTCTGCTGACAGAGTCTCCCAGCAGAAGTCTGAAGAGGTTTTACAAGAGGACCACCACAAAGACGTTGCTGTGGATATCACTTCCCCTGACAAGGCATCCGAGCACAGTTTTGATAAAGCGATCAGAGAGGAAGCAGTGGAGCACCTCAGGCGCCTGAAGAATGAAATTGCGGCTCACTGGATAGGCCCTGAAGGCCGCCCACTACGAGAGGTCCTAATGGAGCAAGCCCAGGTTGTCTGGCAGTTTCGTGAGAAAGAAGATTTGGAGAAGTGGATGGTGACTTCTGATAAGACAATCGGAGGCAGGAGTGAGATATTCTTGAAGATGGCCAAGAACAACCAGAGTGCTCTGCTCTTTGGAACTCTGAGCTCTGAAGCCCCTCAGGATGGAGACAGTAGCCAGAGTGGCTACTGTGCCATGCTATCCAGGGTTCGAAGGGTAGGCGAGACCTGGAAGTCAGTTTTCTAGTGTTTGGTTGTAGCATGAACTATAACAGCTTGCTTTTCTGTAAATGAACACATATGTTTTGTTATATTCTGCATCTTGCCTCTATATAGGGATAAATAACTACTTGGCCTGAGTGTAAAACGGGGCAGTCCTTGTTTCTGGGCACGGTTTTGAGTCTGAGAAGATTGCTGTGTATCTGAGGAATCCTGAGAAAATAGACTTTGAAAGGTGTCTGGGGAGATTTACATCTACAGTTTGGATGAAGCAGGGGCTTCTTGTGGCCTTTGTTTTTGGTTTTGAGACAGGGTCTCCTGCAGTTCAGGCTGGCCTTGAACTAATTGTGTACCTGAGGATGACCTTGAGCTCCTGCTGCTCCTGCCTAGACCTAAATCATAGGATTAAGGGGGTGTGCCACTGTGTCTGGTACAGGTCTTAATATTTGACATTACTATGCTGGGGGCCGGGGAGATGGCTCAGTCAGTGTAGTGCCTGCCATGCAAGCTTGAGGACCTGAGTTTGGATCTCCAGCACACATATAAGAAGCTGCATGTGTTGCCGGGCGATGGTGGCGCACGCCTTTAATCCCAGCACTTGGGAGGCAGAGGTAGGCGGATCTCTGTGAGTTCGAGACCAGCCTGGTCTACAGAGCTAGTTCCAGGACAGGCTCCAAAGCCACAGAGAAACCCTGTCTCGAAAAACCAAAAAAAAAAAAAAAGAAGAAGAAGAAGAAGCTGCATGTGGCATCATGCCCCTACACATCACAAACGACCACATGTAAATGTTTAATATGTAACTGTTGTTATTTCACTGTGTCTGCGTTATGCTAAATGCAGACACATACTAGTGTCCCTGACTCTAGCACCATGTGCTCCATTCTAGCCTTTCATCTCTTATTTGTGACTTCCCTAGCAGTGAGAAATCTTCATCCTCTCACCATCTGCTTACTTATTAATCCAACCCCAGTAAATATATAGTGCAGTTTTAGAATTTCTATAGTATGCTGGGCGGTGGAGGCACACACCTTTAATCCTAGCACGGGGGGGGGGGGGTGCGGCAGAGGCAGGACAGGCTCCAAAGCTACACAGAGAAACCCTATTTCCAAAATCAAAAACAAACAACAACAATAATAACAAAAAATTTTTTGTAGTTGTATTGCCCAAATTAGTCTTGAATTCCTGGGCTTAAGTGATCTCCCAGTTCTACCTCCTAAGCAGAGTAAGTTCAGGGCCAGCCAAGGAAAATGAGTGAGACCATATCTCAAAATAAAAATCTTGGGTGTAAAGCTGGGCAGTGGTGGTGCATGCCTTTAATTCCAGAACTCGGGAGGCAGAGACAGGTGGATCTCTGTGAGTTCGAGGCCAGCCTGGCTTACAAAGTGAGTTCTAGGACAAGGGCTACAGAGAAACCCTGTTTCAAAAAAACAAAAGAAAAGAGAAACCTTGAGTGTAGGAGTGCGTTCTTGTAATTACTGCATTTGGGAGGAGCCAGAAGTATTGGAGTTATGCAGTGAGTTGTGGGCTATAGGAGGCCCTGTCTCAGAACTGCCAAGTCAAAGCAGGGCTAGCAGAGTGCTTGCCAGCCTGTGCCAGGCCCTCTACCCAGTCAGTACTCCATGTTACAAAACAACAGCAAACAGAGCAATGTTTGTTTGTTTTTGTTTTTTTATAAATTTTGGGGTTTTTTTTTTTCCTCTGAACCAATTTATTGACCACAGCAAAGTTCTATATACAAAGGGACCTGGACCTTGGTGACAAATGCCTATTCCTAGGATGCAGGACTTGGAAGCAGGAGGACCACTCGTTTGAGACCAGTTCTTTCAATGTTGGGCTGCACTACTGGACTGCAGTAACTGTCCCCAAAGAGCACAGATGACAAAAGCCCAAACAAAACTACGATCCTTTCTAACTGATATCTTGGAAACGGGTTGTCATAAATAAGAAAAGTCCACATCGGACATTCGGTGAATGGCCTAACTTCTGGAACTTTACTAGTTTTTACAAGTTAACACAGGTAGGACTGAACCCCTGTGTCGGGTGGCTGGAGAACATGAGATGTCACGAGGCCATTTTGTGCACTGCCACTGTGATGCCATCGTGCTTCTGGATCATAATGTTCCCATTATCTGATTCTAAACAGACCACAGGAATATCAGTGGGGTCAGAGGTTAGCTTAGATGCTTGCTGAGCTAGAACAGATATCACTCCGGCATGCTCATCTGACAGGGTACCACAACAGCCCAGATTAAGTCCTTGTGAGTCTGAGCACAGGACTCCAACAATGGATGGATTCTTCATTGTGTCCTCCAAATGCTGTTCCAAAGTCGCCTCCATCCCGCCCGCTATCCGCCCCGGTCCTAGACCCCACAGCAAAACGCTTGCTGCTTCACCGAAAGCCTCGGTCACGTCAAATTTTTGGTTTTTTTGAGACAGGGTCTCTCTATGCAACAGCTCTGGCTGTTCTGGAACTCACTTTGTAGATCAAGCTGGTCTCAAACAGAGGTCCACCTGCCTCTGCCTCCCAAGTCCTGAAATTGAATGTGCTTGCTGAGAACACAGTATTTAAACACACAGTTTCTTTTACGTTTTAGGTTTCAGTCCCTGTCAGCCTCTGACTACTGTGGATATATACTGGCTTGTTTCAGGGCTGCCTGGACAGGCCTGTGCTTTAACTTGAGCCATAGGCTATGGATGTTTGGATGCTATGCATTAGAAAGAAGAGCAAATGCAGGAATAGTATTAGACTCTCTGTAAAATAGTGGGAAAAGAAAGCGATGTGTTCTTTTAGATGTAACCAGTGACAAATTTGTTTCTTCCATCCCCCCAAAACTGCATGTAGTTTTGGTCAGTCAGAGTAGAAAATAATTCTATGGCCAAACACCCTCCCCACCCTATGAAATAATGAAACTAGTAGATGACGTTTTTGTTTGTTTTTAAGATAGAATTCCCCTATGTAGCTCAGGCTAAGCCTTAAACTCACATCATGTTGCCTACCTCGGCACCCTAAGCACTGGGCTCACTGATGTTTATTAGTGTTGTCCAGTGCTGGTGCTAAGCACTGTGTGTACATTTCTACTTAGCCCTTAAAACAATCCTGGGAAATGAGATCATCCCAGTGTTACTGTGAGGCGCTGAGGCTTTGGGTGGTGATTCACTCAGTTACAGCTAGTCAGAGCGAGTGAGAATTAGTTCCTGTCTGAGCATCCACGCCTTGACACCCAGTTGTCCTTGAGAGTGCTGTAAAGTAATCAAATGCATATAGAAATGCACACTTAATTCCTTTTCTGCCCTGTGTAGAGACAGAGTCTTACTCTGGAGCTGCCCTGGTGGCCTCAGTCTCAGGAATCTCTTGCCTCAGCAGCCGTAGCGTAGGATTACAGGCAGGTGCCACCACACCTAGACCTAAAGTCCCACTTTTGAAGAGAGTGACAATGAGGCAGGTAAACACAGATTTGGGGCTAAGTGGTGCTTGTAGTGATTCCCTGAGTACTCAGTTGTCTGTGAATGAGTAAGACATCCTGATAATATATCTATATCGTAGGGCTGTGAGGAGGATTAAAGAAAATTATGCATGTAAATCGCTTGAATGGATGCTAGCTATTATTATTGTGTGTGTGTGTGGAGAGAGAGAGAGAGAGAGAGAGAGAGAGAGAGAGAATGTGGAGGAGTTAGAGTGTCTTCCTGTAGCACTGTCTGCCTTGTTTTTTTGAGACAAGGTCTCCCCTGAACCTGGAGCTCACTGGGTTTTTTTTTTTTTTTTTTTTTTTTTTTGGTTTTTCGAGACAGGGTTTCTCTGTGGCTTTGGAGCCTGTCCTGGAACTAGCTCTGTAGACCAGGCTGGTCTTGAACTCACAGAGATCCGCCTTTTTGTGTAGACTGTCTGGCCAGCGAGCCCTTGGGTCTCCCCTGAACCTGGAGCTCACTGTTTTTTTGTTTTTTTTTGTCTAGACTGTCTGGCCAGTGAGCCCTCGGGTCTCCCCTGAACCTGGAGCTCACTGGTTTTTCTTTTGTCTAGACTGTCTGGCCAGTGAGCCCTCGGGTCGGCCTCTCCCAGTGAGTGCTGGTGGATGCGGCCACACTTAGTTTTATATGTGGGTGCTGGAGATCTGAACTCAGGTCCTTACACTTTTGCAGCAAGCACTGAGCCATCTCCCAGCCTCTTGATTTTTAAAACTTGAGCTTGATTTTGCGTGGGGTAAGACAGTTGTTATAAAATGGGCCACTTAGAAACCATTGTTCCTTAAAACCAGGGAGGAAAAGTACATTAATTTCCATTCAGCAAGTACAAATGACTGTCTGTCACCTGGAAGCATTGTCCTGGTTTAATCATGCCTTGAACATTGCCTTAGAAACATGTCAGTATTTTTTTCATATGTCTGTATTTGGTACTCAAATATTGGTTTATTTGACTCCTTGTGGTAGAGAATATACATGGAATGCCCTATGGTGTTGGCAAGATGGCTCAGCTGCTGCTGAGCCTGAAGACCCAAGTTCAATCTCTGGAACTCACATGGAGAAAGGAAAGACTAGCAGATGTTGTCCGCTGGCGTCCATATATGCACCCCAATAATAAACAATGCTGCTGACTTGGTGACGGCTCTTGCTAAAGGAATTTAACTTTCTGTACTTCAGGGTTCTTTCGAGAGGAGGCTGTCTTACGATTGGTCCCGGTTCAATACTTTGTATCTCCGAGTCCGTGGGGATGGCCGGCCTTGGATGGTGAATATCAAGCAAGGCACAGACTTTATCCAGAGAAAAAGTCAAATGTACAGTTACTTCATGTTCACCCGTGGGGGGCCCTACTGGCAGGAAGTCAAGGTAAATTTCAATTCTTCACTGTTAGGAAAATGGGGGTCTATTGAAAATATGCCTACATTGTGTCATGCTAATCATTTTTTAAAATTTTTTATTTATTTTAGCATTAGTGTTTTGTCTGCTTGTACATTTGTGTGAGGGTTTCTGATCCTCTGAAACTGGAGTTACAAGTTTGAAGTGCCATGTGGGTGCTGAGAATTGAACATGGGGTCCTCTGGAAGAGCAGCTGGTGCTCTTAACCACTGAGTCATATCTTCAGCCCATACTAATCATTCTTTTTTTTTTCATACTAATCATTCTTATATAAAATAGAGGCAGAATGAGTAGAAGTAAGAGGACCTGGGGAGAGATTTAAAGGACAAATGGGTTTTTTTTGTTTTGTTTTGTTTTGTTTTATCATTAATAAAAATGAGCCAGCCTGGGTGGTGGTGGCGCACGCCTTTAATCCCAGCACTTGGAGGCAGAGGCAGGTGACGTTTATGATTTTGAGGCCAGCCTGGCCTATGTAGTGAGTTCCAGGACAGCTAGGACTACATAAAGACCCCCTAACTAAAATAGATAGATAGATAGATAGATAGATAGATAGATAGATAGATAGATAGATAGATAGAAAAATAAATTTATGTATGTATGTGTCTTAGTTTGGTTACCATTGTTGTGATGAAACACCATGACCCAAAGCAATATTGGGAGGAAAGGGTTTATTTCACTCACATTTCCATGCCACTGTTCATCATCAAAAGCAGTGAGGGCAGGAACTCAAGTAGGGCTGGCATCTGTCATCTTTTCCTTCCCTCTTCTAAGCAGCTGGGGTTCACAGGCATGCTATGCTGGCTGGACTGTTGGCTGGCTATCGTGTGTGTATGTGTCTTTGGTCTAAGGTAAAGTAGTAAAATGCTTCCTAAGACCCCAAGCTCAATCTATATCACTACAAAAACAAAACCCTCAGGAAACTTAGTTTTAATCTAAAGAGTCAACCATTTCCTATACCTGTCTTTTTAAACTTAGGAATTTACCTACTTACTGAAATAGTCTTGTGCTGTTTCTTGTGTGTTTAGCAGACTGGGGAGGACTATTCCTCAAATAGCCATGCTTCAGCTCTGAAGTAATTTGTCTCTTTTCTCAGATTCCTTTCTCCAAATTCTTCTTCTCAAATCAAGGAAGGATACGAGATGTCCAGGGCCCACTCGTCCTTGACAAGGTAATGTTCTCCACTGAGAACGATGTCTTCTTTAGTGAAATACAGTGGCTGTCGGTCCAACTCAGTCTTTTTGGCAAGGGTAGCAGAGGAAAGATTAAAGTTCCTATTCAGGCTTTGTAGTGATTAGGGGCAGCGGGGCTGCGTTCCCAGCACCCCGGCCGCCTGCCCGGCTAGCTCAGTCGGTAGAGCATGAGACTCTTAATCTCAGGGTCGTGGGTTCATGCCCCACATTGGGCACCATTTGTAGTAATTAGGGGTGGCGGGGCTACGTTCCCAGCACCCAGGCCGCCTGCCCGGCTAGCTCAGTCGGTAGAGCATGAGACTCTTAATCTCAGGGTCGTGGGTTCGTGCCCCACATTGGGCACCATTTGTAGTAATTAGGGGTGGCGGGGCTACGTTCCCAGCACCCAGGCCGCCTGCCCGGCTAGCTTATGCCCGAAATAACAACACACAAACTGTATTCATTTAATCACTGCTTGGCCCATTTCTATTTAGCCGCTTCTAGGCTAATTCTCACATATTAATTTAGCCCATTTCTAATCATCTGTGTTGCGCCCCTAGGTGCGCTTACCGGGAAGATTCTTTCCTATGTCCATCCTGGGTCGGAGCTTCATAGCGTGCATCTGCCCAGGAGCCAGGAGCATGGCGTCTCTCTGAGGTGTCTGCTCCCGAGAGGAGAGCTGTCGAGACTGAGCTCACTTCCTCTTCCTCCTAGCGTTCTGTTCTGTTTACTCCTCCCACCTATCTTCTAACCAATAAAATGGGCCAGGCAGTTCCTTTATTAGCCAATGACCTTCCTCCATCAAGGCTTCTCTGTTGGGACAGACGCTGCCTGAGACCTCCATCCTGAGGAGCTAGCTGCCTCTGTTAGAGCCAACACTACCTTGGACCTCTGGGAGGTGTTAGCGTGGTCTTTTCAGCAGGCTTCGTTTTACTTTAGCTGTATAATAAGAGCTCAGAAGAACTTTAAAGAGACTCTGTTAAGAGTCTATGCTGTACTGACTGTCTAAGTGGATGACTCAAAGGGGAGAAGACAGGAAGTAAAATGTGTGGTCGGGAGGAGCAGTCGCTTAAGTGTACTGGGACATCCTGCACATCCCAGCCCTTGAGAGCTGAAGGCAGGAGGATCAGGAGTTCAGCGCCAGCTTGGGCTACATGCAACCCTATCTAGAAAAAAATGAACGCAGTCTTGTATTGTACTTCTCTAGTATAGCAAACAAAGAGTATAACATGCTGAGGGCTGATAGTGTGGTCTATTACAGGGTTCCCTCGAGGAAGAACATGGCTGCCTCAGTGCATGAGATTCTAACCCATTTCTCTTATTTTCCATTTAGATCTCTTCTATAGGATTCACCCTGGCAGATAAGGTGGATGGACCATTCTTTCTGGAAATAGATTTTATTGGTGTGTTTACTGATCCCGCCCATACAGAAGAATTTGCTTATGAGAATTCTCCAGCTATTAGCCCAGGACTTTTCAAATAGAGAACTGGGGGCAGACTTGAGTAAAATTGAGTAGTGGTCACAAAATACAAAAATAAAGCTTTTCTGTCTCCCACCTCCCCACAACCTTTTTCTGCTGTGCTGGAAAGAACACCCTGGCCTTGAGACCAGAGCCAAGGAAACACACCCTGCCCATAACCAACTCAGGAACTGAAGTTCAGCCAACCGCTGAGCATGAAAACAATCCCTGAATACAAAATCCAACTAATTTGAGTTTGTCCCAAACTCAGGAATTGAGACCCTACCAACCCACATCACCTTGGAAAGTTCCCCCCACCCCCCACTGGCTGAGCATTTGTTTAATGGCAGCACGTGTTGTACATATTCCTTACGGTTAAATGCTGTTGCTAAGGGAGAGCAGGTAAGAAGAACCCAGCATGAAACCAGGGCTGGGTTTTAGCTATGGAGGCGCACAGTGAAAGGAATGCATTTTCCAGAAAGTTCCTGCACGAGCATGTCCTATAAGGAGGCAGCTTTCAAAGGAGGCATCTCTGGGGCAGTTTTGATCTTATTTCACTCTGCCCTCCTGTTTCCAAACTGACCTTTGAGGGACGGAGTCTGCTAAATAATTTGAAAATAAAATGCCATGGAAGTCACTGGAAAATGGGATAGCTCAGTAGAGAGCTTGCTTCCAAAGACATGAACTTACTTTCAGGGGCTTCTTACATAACTTGCCAACAGGAGAGATAGACTGTGGGTGCTAAAGAGTCTTGTTCATTTAAAAACGTGAGCCTCAGAGATGGCTCGGTAGGTAAGACCTCCTGCTCCAACAGAGTACCCAGGCTCTGTTCCCAGCACCCACAAGCATCTGTAACTGGAGTTCTAGGGGAACTGAAGTCCTCTTCTGGCCTCCACAGGCACCAGTCACAAACATGGTACACAGATATACATGCAGTCAAAACACCCATGCATATTAAATAACTTTTATTTTGTTTCTCAAGACAGGGTTTGTCTGTGTAACCCTGTCTCTCATGAAAGTTTGTGGACCAGGCTGGCCTCAAACTCAAGAGATCCGTCTGCCTCTGCCTTCCGAATGCTGGAATTAAAGGTGTGTACCACTACCACCTGGCTTAAATGAAAAAAAAAATTTTTTTAAAAAGATTTATCTATTTTTTATGTATACAGTATTCTGCCTGTATGTTTTGGATGCCAGAAAACAGCACCAGATCTCATTACAGATGGTTGTGAGCCACCATGTGATTGCTGGGAATTGAACTCAAGATCTCTAGAAGAGCAGCCAGTGCTCTTAACCTCTGAGCCATCTCATCAGCCCTTAAATTAAAAATTCTTAAAGACTTATTTTATGTGAACTGTGGTTTTGCCTGCCTGTATTGTCTATGTATCGTGTGTGCAGTGCCCATGACAGCAGGAAGAGGGTATTGGATGCCCTGGAACTGGAATTACAGACTGCTGAGAACCAGAGCGCCCTAGGAGACACAATTCCAAATAGGATATTTAAGAGCATTTTTAGCACCTCTCCTAATGCCCATTTTATATATTTATATGTAATAACTCTTAAATTTTAGAAGCTAGGATGTGGTGATGCACACCTTTAATCCCAGCACTTGGGAGGCAGGATCAAACCAATTTCTGTGAGTTAAGAGGCCAACCTGGTGTACAGAGCTTGTTCCAGGACAGCCAGGGCTTCACAGAGACCCTGTCTCAACCTCCTCACCCCCCCCCCAAATTTTTCTATTCAAAAATCAATTTTGAGTATCTTCATTTTAATCTCTTATAAGAGAGTCAGACATAAACTATATCTTCATTTAAACCTTTGGTTTCTTTCAGCAGTGTTTTATATTTAACATATAAATCTTCACTATATTTTGAATATGAAATGACTCTCAAAGGCCCATGTCCTAAAGGTTTGATTCTTGTCTGAGGTATTATGGGGTGTGATAAATCCTTTGGAAATTGTAGGGCATTGTTTTTGTTATTTTGAGACAGGGTCTCACTATATAGCTTTGGCTGGCCTGGAGCACACTATATAGACCAGGCTGGCCTTAAACAATCCTGCCTCTTTGCCCCAAGTGCTGTGATTAAAAGTATGAGCCACCATTAGTGGTTTAAATGGGCGTGGCTCCCAGAGACTCATATATTTGAATACTTGGTCCCCAGTTGGTGGAACTGTTTGGGAAGGATTGGGAGATGTGGCCTTGGTGAGGAGGTGTGTCACTGGGGGTGAACTTAGATGTTTCAAAAATCTTAGGCTCGGGCTGGAGAGATGGCTCAGCGGTTAAGAGCATTGCCTGCTCTTCCAAAGGTCCTGAGTTCAATTCCCAGCAACCACATGGTGGCTCACAACCATCTGTAATGAGGTCTGGTGCCCTCTTCTGGCCTGCAGACATACACACAAACAGAATATTGTATACATAATAAATAAATAAATATTTAAAAAAAAAAAATCTTAGGCTCTCTCTGCCTCCTATTGTGAATAAGGATGTAAGTAAGCTCTCAAGTCCTGCACCAGGAACATGCCACCATGCCTGCCTGCCTTGCTCAATGCTCCCCACCGTGGCCGTCATGGACTCCAATGACTGGAACTGTGAGCCCCAAACTGAACATTTTCTAGGAGCCTTGGTCATAGTGTTTTGTCACAGCAATCAAAAAGTAAAATAAGATGCCACTACACCCAGTTAGTTTATTATTTTTTTAAGATTTAATTTTCAGGTCAGGCGATAGGGGCACATACCTTTCGTCCCAGCACTTTGGAGACAGAGGCAGGAGGATCTCTGAGGATTCTGTACACTAGCCTGGTCTACAGAATGAATTCCAGGACAGGCAGGACAGAGAAACCCTGTATCGAAAAACCAAAAAGAAAAAAAAGATTTAATTTTTTAAAATTATGTGTGAGGGTATATGCACATGAGTGCTGACGGCCATGAAGGCTATGAAGGGTGTGGAATCCCCCCTTAGGTAGAGCACTCATATGTATACCCACACACATGCACATAGCTTAAAAAAAAATTAAACCTTTTATTTCTTCTTGGTTGTGAGCTGCATGACTTGGCTACTAAAAACTTGTCCTATGCGAGAGTTGTTAGTACACACCTTAACCACTGGGCCTTCTCTACAACTCTAAGGGTTTTTTTCCCCACTTCTGGCACTAGAAGTCAAACCCAGGGCCTTTTGCATACTAGGCAAGAGCCCCCACCAAGTCACACCAGCCAGCACTATGGTTTATTTCTGAAAGAGGCTCACATAGTGAAGGCAGGCAAACCTCTGATCCTTCTGCCCCTACTTCCTGAGTACTGGATCATAGGTTTATGCACCACACTCAGCTCAGCTTTATGGATTTCTGGTATATAAATAAACTCAGCAGGCACTTGGGAGGTAGAGGCCAGTGGATCAGGAGTTCAAGGTCATCCTCAGATACAAAATGAGCTTGAGGCCAGTATGAGCTACCCGAGACCCCATTTCAAGAAAAAAAAAAAAATTGTTGCTGGGCGGTGGTGGTGCATGCCTTTAATCCCAGCACTCGGGAGGCAGAGGCAGGCGGATCACTGGGAGTTCGAGGCCAGCCTGGTCTACAGAGCTAGTTCCAGGACAGGCACCAAAGCCACAGAGAAACCCTGTCTCGAAAAACCAAAAAAAAAAAAAAAAAAAGAAAAAGAAAAAAAAGAAAAAAAATTGTTGTTGTGGAAGAGAAGTGGGTGTGGAGGATGTATAAGTACTTACAGGCCTTGGATGCCATCTAAATCCTGGACAACTTATATTTAAAAAGAATGAACCTATCACAATGAAAACATTTTATTTTATGACAATCATAAGCGTTACACACAACTTAGAATCTTCACATGGCAGAGCAAAGAACTCAAGGCTGTGTTTAGCTGCTCTCCTCTCTTCCTTACAACTAGGAAGGTTTAAGTCCTTAGATGGGAGCCTGGATAGCTGCAATTCCCAGTTTTGCTTTTGATGAGAATCTCAGTTCCTCAGATTGGTACCAGGGTCAAATCCAGGGTCCAGCGTGTGGTACACATGTACAACTGAGGCACACACGCCCTCTGCCCTGTGGCTTTTATTAACAAGTAGAAAGAGCTAAGGCATCTGTTTTAAAAATATGAGTGACAGTTGGCAATTACATGAAATGATCTGAACAAGACTCCTATAAGCTAAGGCATGTTTTTACCTTGATAAAAGTGATCCATAACCAAATCGACAGGATCGTTAGGTTTCCAGACAGTGAAGGCAGAGGTGGCCTCTCCAGCCTCCCTTCCCTGTGGACTGTATCTCACTCACACTTGCATGCTAAGCTTCCGCCATGGCTTGCTGCCACGATGGAACTGCTTCTGTCCAGAAAGGACATGGGCGGTCTCTCTTAGAACTACAGGACCTTGGCATGGAAAACCCATGTCAAGAACCCCAAGGACAGGTCTCTTAAAAAGCAGATTCTACAGGACAATAGGTGAAAACCACTTTAGTTATGAACTTAAAAGTGAGAATGTATTTTAAGAGCTATAGCACACAGAGAACAGATACTCCACAAATTATGCCCGAAAGTTATGGTAGAAAGAGAACTTTCGACTGGAGTAGAGGAAGTGATGAACATTTACAAAAGAGAAACAAGTTGGGAGTCAAGGGATCGGTGGATCACTGGGCTTTAGTCATAACCAGGTTTCTGCGAGCGTCCAGGACCTTTGCTTTCCTCTCCTTCCGTTCTTGCTCGTGTTTCTTCCGTTGTTCTTCCCTAAGAGGGACAGACAGGTTCTGTTAGGCTTGATCTAGGTGCTCCGGAAGACACTGTAGAGAACATACTGCTGAGGGGGCAGCTAGTTATAGCATCTACCTCAGGCTCCTCCCAACATCCGTCAGCACTGCGTGCAAAGGCTGCACGTTGTCATAGTAACTCAGCACTCTAAAGTCATGCATGAACAAGAACCAGAGGACACCTTGGTGACTGAATTCAGTGCCTGTACTTCAAAAAGCAGTTTTAAAGAATGAGAAGTTGAACATATAGTTTGGCCACAGTACTAGAACTAGGGTCCACTAACTAGAGACAAGAAAAGAAAGACCCTCCAGGCTCATGCTATCTTATAGGGAGTAAAAGGTCTTGGTGGCAATGGATAGAGGCAAGAGGTGGATGATAGGTAACCTGCATGGGGAGAGTCCTAGGCAGTAAATGTGATTCAGCCCAGACCAGCTGCAGCCTCTCAGGCCCACACCTGGCTTCGGTCTGCGTGGGGCCTCACCCCTTACATGCCTAGTTTGCCTGAGAGTGGAGAACTTGTACCTGCTCATAACTGAGCACTAGTGTCTGCAGGGATAGTTACATGTGCTGTTGGGAACAGGTCCCACAGAACTTGAAGCAGTAATTCATGGTGCATTGCGAACCCAGTTTGGAATCCATTTTTCTAGAGCTGAAAATACTTAACAAAATTTATAATTTTAGATAGGTTACCATAGGCAGGCAGTGTGAGCACATGTCTTAGTCCCAGCACTTGGGAGGCAGAGGCAGATGGATCACTGAATTAAAGGTCAGCCTGGTCTACAGAGTGAGTTTCAGGATAGCCAGGTCTACAGAGAGAAACCCTGTCTCAAAAACAAAACAAACCAACCAAACAGACAAAAAACTTCAAACCCTTACAACAACAAAAAAAGGTACACTATGGTGTATTCCAGGCCCTAGCTCACTTTAAAGTAAGTTCTAATAGCGGCTGACTCTAAAGGTGACTTAAATCTGGTTTATCTAAGCTTGGTTACATTGGGGACCAAGCTTATCTAAACCAGATTTAAGTTGCCTTTATTTAGGTGGTGGGATCCTTAGCAGATGGGGCCTTGAGGAAAATAAAATTAGGTTATGGAATTAGGTTATGGGTACCACCCTTGGAAGTGATTAATGCCAAGCCTCAGGAATAAACTAGTTCTTCAGGGAGGAAGCTGTTAAAAAGACAGCAGAGCCAGATGGTGGTGTTGCACTTGGGAGGCAGAGGCAGGTGGATCTCTGTGAGTTTGAGGCCAGCCTGGTCTGCAGAGTGAGTTTCTAAGAGAGGCTCCAAAGCTACAGAGAAACCCTGTCTTGAAAAAAAGAAAAAGAACAGGGGCTGGAGAAATGGCTCAGTGGTTAAGAGCATTGCCTGCTCTTCCAAAGGTCTTGAGTTCAATTCCCAGTAACCACATGGTGGCTCACAGCCATCTGTAATGAGGTCTGGTGCCCTCTTCTGGACTACAGGCATACATGCAGACAGAATATTGTATACATGATAAAATAAATATTTAAAAAAAAAAAAAAAGAAATAAAAAGAACAAAAGACAGCAGAACCCTTTCCCATTGCCTAGTCCATACATCTCACGCAGTCAGGCCATTTGCCATCTTGTGACATAACCTAAGATTCTACCAGAACCCTGGGCTTCCAGAACTTTAAGTCGGAACTAAACCATTCTCTGCAGAATGTGTAGTCACACCCTCTTCTGGCACTTCTTTGAAGCATACCCCTCACTTTGTACATTGTGGCTTGAAGTTAGAAACTGAGATAATTATGTACTCACCTGGTGTGGAGATGCGGCTGCTTGTAAGTTCTCCGGTGGAAGCTAACTCTGCTCACATCCTCCTTCAGAGAACTATTTTCTTTAGATTGCCCCCAAGGTTTCAGCTTTCCTGGGTGAGGAAAAGGACAGGGTTAATTCTCTGCTTGATAGATATTTACATGTATTTTCTGTAGTGTATCTTGATTTCACTGTGAATAGTTTCCTCTAAAAATAATGTGCTTTAATAAAAACCTTTACCATTATTGTGTTTGTATGAGCGTAAGTACAGAGGACAGGTTTGGAGAGCTGGTTCTGTCCTCCTCCACCAGTTCTGGGGATGGAACTCAAGACGGTTGGAGTTATGCAGCTGGCCTCTACCCACTCAGCAGCTCACTGGCCTGGGGCATATATTCTTTTTGAGTACAAAGATTTTTTCCCCCACATTTATTTGTGTGCATTGCCATGGCACACAACACGATTTGTTGCATGGGGTCAACACGATTTGCTGCATGGGGTCAACACGATTTGCTGCAGTTGGCTCTCTCCTTTCACCACGTGAGTCCTAGGAATTGCAAATTTAGGCTGTCAGATTTGGTGGCAAGTGACTTTACCTGCTGAGCCATCTTTCTGGTCCTGGTGTCAATTTGTTTTAAACTCTGAGGAAGTCATGGGGAAAAGCCCTAATACAGGGGCTTGAGAGGGCTCAGTGGTTAGAGTGCTACTGTTCTCATCCCCACGGCTCCTACAACTCCAGTTCCAGGATACTGGATAACTGCACTTACATGCAGACAGAGAGTGTACCCAGGATATTTTTAAAAATCTAAACAAATACCAACAACTAAATTTGTTGTTAATTTAATTATACATCAGACTGAATAAAACAATTAAATCAAACAATTTATCTTAAAATTGTGCATTATGTTTATTAGCATTTAAAAATAATTTCACATGTTTAAGATTTTAAAGACGTTTTTAATTACTTGCAGACGTGTGTGTGGGTGTATAACACCTTGTGTGGGTACTGTTCACAGCAGCTCACACTAGTAATTCCACACCTTGGGAAGCTGAAGGAAACGAAAGGCCATGAGTTCACGGGTACACTGGGAGGGAGTTTCAGACTGGCTTGTGAGACCCAGAATCAAAAGCCGCTCTGCTCCCAGCCAGCACGACGTGACAGCGTGGTCTTGTTCTCCTGCTGCCGTGTTGGACCGGATCTGCCTAGAGCTACTGTGACAGGCCAGCCTTGTGCTCTTTCCCATCACCTTCACCAAAATGAACTGGACCCATCCCCAAATGTAAGGCACAATAAACCCTGTCTCTTAAAACATCACAACAAAGATCAAACAACAAAACACCATACACAAAATAAAGTCAGTCTGATAGATACCTCAGAACTGCTGAGAGCAGAACTAAATGTTCTTTTTTTTTTCTAAAAAAAAAAGGGGGGGTTAAAAAAATTTTAAAAAGTGAAGAGCCTATCATTCTGAAGTTCAAAGACATTCTTGGCTTTGAGCAAATTTGAGGACAGCTAGAACACTTGAAGTCCTGTCTCAAAACAAAGGAAACTCAACCGGATATTTCTGTACCCTGTCACGGGACAGAGAGGCTGCACAGGAGACCCTGGGCTGACATTGTCATCGACAAGTTATATTCTCGGTCAACAAATGCATAGCAGATCAGTTGGATTCTGCTCAGTGGGAACTCTTTTAAGTCAGAAACTCATGTGGAAGCAGGGGCACAAATTTCCATAGTAGGATTCTTCCAAGTCATAGAATGAATGATTCTTTACTCTTGTTTTGCAGTGTTCGGGGATCAAATTCAGAGTCTCATGACTGCCAGGAAGCATTTTACTACTATATATCTTACAATAGTACACACACACACATGCACGCACACCACACACACACACACACACACACACACACATGCACGCACACCACACACACACACACACACACATGCACGCACACCACACACACACACACACACATGCACACGCACACACTTTGATGTGTTTTGATGCAGAGCTGTTTACCATCACCCTCCAGCCTAGCCCTTCCCAACAATCCCACCCACATACCTTTGTGTGGCTTGTAGTTGAGGGGCCGAGACAAGCTTGCCTGGAGATCAAAGACTGGTTTCTTACTAGAGCCTGGAGTCTGTGCTGCTTCAGCTGCCAACTTGAATGGGGTAACAACTGAAAACACAAAATAAAAACCCAAACAAATAAAACACCAAAGAACTTAATTTATTTTTTTGTTTTTTGGGACATGGTTTTTCTATGTAAGAGCCCTGGCTGTCCTGAAACTCACTCTGTAGCCCAGGCTGGCCTTGAACTCACAGAGATCTGCTTGCCTCTACCTCCCAAGTGATGGGATTTAAGGCATGCACCACCAGCGCCTGACTGGATTTATTAATTCTTAATTTGGCATGATCTGATTTATTGCATTGGTGGAGAGACCCAATTCTAGGGCACAGAAACCTTTCAATGGTGTCTCTTCACAGCAACAGAACTAATACTAAGGTTTGCCATCTGAGCATGCGACTGGAACGTGAGAGGCCTCTACTAGGTCTCAGTCTTAGTTTGGTAGGTGAGGGGCCTCTACTAGGTCCCAGCCACACTAGGATCCTGATTTAGCCTCCAGAGCTAAGATATTTCTTTCGCTATAACCATTTATTTATTATAAGAGGCTGAATTAATCTGTATGGGTCATTGATGTAGATGTTGGGCTCAAAAGCAGGAAGGAAGGGGTGTGAGCTCGATGAGGAACATAACCAGTGAGGTTTGTTCCCTGGTTAGCAGCCCCTGAATATTCTGAATAGTTCAACCTTTTCTAGGGTCACCTGAGTACAGAGGCCTTGAAATAGCTGAGCGCTGGGGAGATGGCCCAGCAGATAAAGGTGCTTCCGATGAAGCCTAACCACCGGCGTTTGATCCCTGGAAACCCACATGGTGGTAAGATAGAGTGAGCCCCACAGTTTGACCTCTGACCTCCAAATGTGTGCTCTGGCACACGTGCATGTGCATACATAGACATACATTAATTTTTTTTTTTAAATAAAAAAGAGGAAAGCAGATAGCCATCACGGGGAGTGACAGGGTACGACTCTAACTTCACTTGCGAGGTAAAGGTGGGAAGACTGGAGTTCAAGCCAGCCTCAGCTGCACTGTGCGTGAGAGACAGACACACAGTCAGAAACAAGCACAGAGAGATCACACACACATTTTGAGGTCAGATACACATGGCCTGGATCTCACCTATTGGTGACCTTCAGGGAGTTGGTCATTGTCTACATCTCCCTGGCACTGTCAACACATCCAGCTTTCTTTTGTTAGACAAAGGTTCTAGGATTTGAACTCAGGTCCCATGTTTAAAAGACAAGTGCTTCAGATGTGGTGGCACACATCTTTAATCCCAACAATGGGAAGGCAGAGGCAAGCGGATCTCAGTGAGTTCAAGGCTAGCTTGGGCTATAAAGTGAGTTCCAGGACAGCCAGAAGTATTATACTGAAAAATCCTGTCTTGAGAAAAAATAGACACGTGCTTTTACTCACTAAGCCATTTCCCAGCCCCAGCCCCTTGAATTTAATTTTCCTTCTTCCTATTCAGTTAGGCCATGACCCTGCGTCTCCAGACCGATTACTATCAGCGGTGACTTCTCCAGTCGGAAACCACGGACTGCTCTGGTCTAGCACCAGCTATCATTTTCAAGGGATTCTAAGGAGAACCTTTATGTGTGTGAGTTTATAGCTTATGTCTCTGGCATTTCCTTCACCATTGCAAATGAAGAATATGCTATGACTTTTTTGTCCTTGATTTTATACACATGAAGAGACCTTAGAGAAAGAGGTATGCTTGGTTTCAGAAGTTTTAAAATTGTTTATGTATTTATTTATTACCTGCAGTAGTAAAATTCCTCTCTGTGGTCTTTAACTTAGGTGTCCTGAACACAGCCTGGCCTTTTGAAGCACTCCCGGTTAGGGTCACACGTGGAGACTTTCTGGCTGGAGTCTTGGTCAGGGAGTACTTATGTTCATTATCCTTGGTAGCAGCTGAAAACCTAAATGCAGTCATGGAGAGAGAGCCGTGAGGACTTGGAACAAGAGTAACCAAGGACACCGAGAACTTGTAATGGAAACACTGGCCGGCACCAGGCGACCCATGAGTCTCAGGAAATACTGCTATGTGAATCGACCTCTCTCACACAAAAGACATGTTTGTGTCAACTTCCATTATTCGTAAAGTAAGTTTTGAGGGGCTGGAGAGATAGCTCAGCAGTTAAGAGCACTGGATGCACATACAGAGGACCCGGGTTCAGTTCCCAGCACACACATGGCAGTCCACAACCATCTGTGACTTCGGTTCCAGGGGATCTGACACCTTCAGGCTGGCCAGAAGCTCAAGACATACAAGTGGTACATACACATGCAGCCAAAGTCTTTAAAAATATAAATAAAGTACGTTTGTGTATTTTCTGGTATTCTTGTGTTGGTCAATGACGGACTTGGAGGGCAATGGGACTCAAGGTCCAGGGCAGGAATCCAGAGATGCCGTCCTTTTGCCTTTTCCTCCTGGCCACATCAAAGGGATGGGAGACTATTCTGCCAGGGATGCCATGGCAACATCTGCCTCGAACAACCTCATTTGGTGGAGTGGAGCATAAATGAACTCACTCTTTATTCATGCCAAATGTAAGACATGTATTTTTGTGATTGTGCTCTCTAGTTTCATGTCAACTTGGCACAAGCTAGTATTATCTAAAAGGAGGGAACCTCAACTGAGAAAATGCCTCCATAAAACCCAGCTGTAGGGCATTTTCTTAATTAGTGATTAATGGGGGAAGGCCTAGCCCATTGTGCGTGGTTCTATCCTGGGCTGGTGGTCCTAGTTCTGTAAGAAAGCAGACTGAGCAAGTAAGCAGCACCCTCCATGGCTGCAGCACCAGTTCCTGCCCCAGGTACCAGCCCTGCTTGAGTTCCTGTCCTGACTTCCTCCAATAATGAACAAGGATGTGAAAATATAAACAAATAAACCTTTTCCTCCCCTTTACAGCAATAGTAACTGTAACTAAGACATGATTCTACATTTCAATAGCTCTGAAAACAACAGGTGTGAGCTGGGCAGTGGTGGTGGCACATCTTTAATTTCAGTACTCGGGAGGCAGAGGCAGATAGATCTCTGTGATTTCAAGGCCAGCCTAGTCTCCAAGAGCTAGTTCCAGGACCCAGGACAGGCTCTAAAACTACAGCGAAACCCTGTCTCGAAAAAACCAAAAACAAAAAAAAACCAAAAACAAAAAACAAAAAAACAGGTGTGGTTGTGTGGGTTTGTAATCCTAGTAATAGGGAGGTAGAGTCATGATTCCTGGGACTGGTGAGCCAGCTAGACTAGCATACTTGGTAAATTCTAGGTCAATGGGAGATTCTGCCTCAAAAAATTTTAAAATAAATAAATAAAAACCACAGAAGGCCCATGGTGACAATTGGAGGTTGTCTTCTGTCCAACAAACCTACACGCACACACACACACACCAAGCAAAACTGAACACTGGTAGAGCCCTTGTCTAGAATACCCAAGGCCCTGGATTTAAGTCCCAGTGTGCACATGCACACGCGCGCGCGCGCGCGCACGCGCACACACACACACACACACACACACACACACACACACACACACCCTATGCAATCACTTAAGAAAGAAAACCTCTTTACCTGACATTCATCTTAGTTGTTGAAAGCACAGAGTGTTTGCCTGACCCCATCAGACATACAGTATCCTGACTTTCAGGGCCACGGAACTGGTCTCGTGAGAACTGCTGCCTGGCAGGAGTACAGGGAACAGAGAGTCTTCCTCTTGCTAAAACGGGGGTCCCTCTCCCTTTTTTCTCAAGCTGCTTTTGAAAGGAAGGAAAAAGACCCATTTAAAATTTCGGCCAGCAAGGCAGCTGAGTGATTAAAGGCAGAGGCCCTGATGGCCTGCATTCCATCCCACAGCCCACATGACAGAGGCAGAACCAACTCTCTCAAATGGTCCTCAGACCTCAACATGAGCACACACACACAATGTAACTTTCAAAATAAGAGCTTGTTCTCAGACCAGGTGAGGAGGTATATTCCCTGTAATCCCCCCATTTGGAGGGTAGAGGCAAGAAGATCAGGAGTTCATGGCCAGTCTTTTAAGCATGGGTGAGTTCGCGAGAGCCCGAAATAAAGGGAAATCAAATATTTATGGGGGACACCCATGAGTAACAATAAGGTAGGCAGCCACCGAGTCCTCGGCCCTGGGGGAGCTGGAAGCTGCAATCAGATCTCTTGACCACCACACAGGATAGAAAGAAAGAGAGAAAGAGACCTTTCCGTTCCTTTATGAGAAAAAGATGTCTGGTCAGGCAGTGGTAGCATACGCCTTTAATCCCAGCACTCAGGGGGCAGAGACAGGCAAATCTCTTTGAGTTCAAGGCCAGTTTGGTCTACACAGTGAGTTCCAGGACAGGCTCCAAAACCACAAAGAGAAACTGGGTCTTGGAAAAGAGAGAAATAGAGAGAGAGAGAGAGAGAGAGAGAGAGAGAAAGAGAGAGGAGACACTGTAAGGCTGGTACCCAAAAAACTATTGGCGGAAAAGAATTTGTAGTGAAATTCCCATAACACAGTTTCATCCAGAGACAGTTCAAGACTAGCTTAGACTACATAAAATCCTATGACAATTAAAAACAAAACAAAAGAAAAAGAACAAGAAGAGCTAAGATGGCACATGCGTTTAATCCTATTTTTCCTGCTTCCTCCATGTCTGGCTTGCTGGCGGCTGCCTAGCTGACCCTAGGCATCTTCCTCTCTTTCTCCCTCATTCTCCCCTTTCTCTTGAGCCTAGATTCCTCCTCCTACTTATTCTCTCTGTCCACCAGTCCTGCCTATCTTTCTGCTGTTCAGCTTTTTATTAATCAGGTGCCTTAGGCAGGCAAGGAGAAACAAATGTAACACATCTTTACATATATAAATATTCCACAACACAGCCTTCACTACACAACAAAAAGGCAGATAACAAATAGTTTAGTCTAAGAACATGAATTTTAAGAATTAATAAAATATTGGGGGCTGGAGAGATGGCTCAGCTGTTAGGAGTACTGACTGTTCTTCCAAAGGTCCTGAGTTCAATTCCCAGCACCCATGTGGTGGCTCATAACCACCCTTAATGAGATCTGGTGCCCTCTTCTGGCCTGTAGGTATCACTGTATACATAATAAATAAGTCTTTTAAAAAGAAAGAATTAACAAAATATCATAGAGCCTTCATCCAGTAATTGATGGAACCAGATGCAAAGATCCACAATCAAGCACCAGGCCGAGCTCTGGGAATCCAGTTAAAGAGACAGGGAGGAGGGAATATATGAGCAAGCGAGGTCAAGATCATGATGGAGGAATCTACAGAGACAGCTGAACCAAGCTCATGGAAACTCATGAACTCTGGACCGACAGCTGCGGAGCCTCCATGGGACGAACTAGGCCCTCCTTATAAGGGAGTCAGTTGTGAAGCTTGGACTATCTGAGGAGCCCCGGCAGTAGGACCAGCATCTATCCCTGGTACATGAGCAGGGTTATTGGAGCCCATTCACTATGGTGGGATGCCATGCTCAGTCTTAATGCAGAGGGGAGGGGCTTGGTCCTGCTTCAACTTACTGTGCCAGATTTTGTTGCCTCCCCGTGGGGGGCCTTCCTGGTTGGGAGGAGTGGATGGTGAATGGGCTAGGTGGAGTGGGGGAGAAGAGACGGGAGGAGTGGATGGTGAATGGGCTAGGTGGGGTGGGGGAGAAGGGACGGGAGGAGTGGATGGTGAATGGGCTAGGTGGAGTTGGGGGAGAAGAGACGGGAGGAGTGGATGGTGAATGGGCTAGGTGGAGTGGGGGAGAAGGGACGGGAGGAGTGGATGGTGAATGGGCTAGGTGGAGTGGGGGAGAAGGGACGGGAGGAGGAACTGTGGTCAGAATGTAAAATGAAATTTTAAGAAAATTAATTATTTTTTTAAAAAGAATTAACAAGAAACTGGGAATAGTGGCACACATCTTTCATTCTAGCACTCAGGAGGTAGAGGTAGGTGGATCTCTGAGTTTGAGGCCACCTGGCTTATAGAGTGAGTTCCATGACAGCAAAAGCTACACAGTGAGTCTGTCTTGAAAAAAAAAAGAAAAAACAAAGAAAAAAAAAAAAGAAAAGATAGGGAGGGAGAGATGGCTCAGTGGTTAAGAGCACTAGATATTCTCCCAGAGGACTTGAGTTTAATTCCCAGCACCCACATGGCAGCTCACAACCATCTATAACTCCAGTTCCAGAGGATCCAACCCCATGTCTCACCTCCGTGGGCACCAGCCAGGTATGTAGTACACATATGTACATGCAGGCAAAACACTCACAGACACAAAAGAAAACAAATTAGTTCTAAAAAACAATAACAAGACATGCATTTTGTCTGCCTACCTTTAGTTCATTAAGTGAACTGTGTCCTTTAAAGTGTTTCTTTTTTCTCACAATATATTCATCAATGGATTCCATTTTCTTAAAACGAGCCTCATGGAGCTTCTTAAAGTCTAGAATGTTATCACAATATGAAAATAGTCAGATAAAAATGTATTTTTAGCCCTCCCTATGTTTTTTTCAACATTTGTTCAACTTTTAATATCATCTTGACTAAAACATAATTCCAGAAGGCTCGGCCTTTGGAAACGCAGGGAATGCGTGTTCATCTCGGAAACCACCAAGTGTTCACATCTCACTGACCAGTTCCCTGATGTCTCGGTTTGGAGAACAAGAGATTTGTCTTCTTACACCTCAGCTAGTTAAAGGGCCGTTATTTAATCATTGCAAGAGGGATCTTGTACACACGCACGCATGAGTGATAGGGACTAAAACAGGGCCTCCTGCATGCTAAGCACACGCTCTACCACATCAGGTACTTCTCCAGCCTCTGAAACGGACAGCTTATGCCGAGAAAGCACTAGGTTAGACCTCTGTGAAGGCTCAAATAGTAAATACGTTAGACTAGTATGCTTTCTGTCTCGTTTATTTTAAACCCTTTAAAATTTTGAGCCGGGTGGTGGTGGCGCACGCCTTTAATCCCAGCACTCGGGAGGCAGAGGCAGGCGGATCTCTGTGAGTCTGAGGCCAGCCTGGTCTACAGAGTGAGTTCCAGAACAGGCTCCAAAGCTACACAGAGAAACCTTGTCTCGAAAAACCAAATAAAATAAATAGATATATAAAAATTTTAAAGATAAGCTGAGTATGGTGGCACATGACTATAAACACAGCACAGGGTAGGAAGAGACAAAAAGATTAAAAAATCAAAGCTAGTCTTGGATATACAATAAATTTGAGGCCTCCTGGCTACATTAAGACCCACCCAAAAGGCAAAAACTTTAGCTCAGAGAAGTTCAAGGCCAGCCTGGTCTACAGAGCTAGTTCTAGGACAGGCTCCAAAGCTACAGCAAAATCCTGTCTTGAAAAACCAAAATGATCATCATCATCAATGTATCAACATAAGGCAGATGAGAAAATTGTTTTTTGATTATTTTTTTTTGGATGTATTGGAGACAGAATGTTACACTATTAGACAAGCTGGTTCAAAGCCACATAACCAAGGCTCTAGTTACTAAGTACTGAGATTATAGCATAAACATAGTATTTTACAGTAAGTAGTGGAAAAAGTATTCTCCAGTTATATGCTAACCCACGAAGCCTGAAGTACAGCCATTGCTACTTTATACTGAGAAAGAGGATCAGGTTCCTACCGTCCTGAGGCTAGGAACCCAAGACAGTGGAACATAAACCCTGGTCCCCATTCCTGAGATTCTAGCTGATGCCAGTCACTGCCAACCACTGCCTATCCAAGAGGAGTCTGGAGGAGGGCAACTACTGTTTTGCGTCTTTGTGTTCAAAACTTACCTGGTGTAGTGGCTGTAGTCCTTTTATTATTCCCAAGTTTGGAAAATCCATCTGTGCACAGAGATCTTTTTTCCAAAGGCCTCTTTGAATTTTTATTGTCTAAATATACAAATATAAAATAAATTAAAACTTTTTCCATTAAACTCTGTTGACTTAAATAATCAGAGATAGAGCCGGGCGGTGGTGGCGCACGCCTTTAATCCCAGCACTTGGGAGGCAGAGGCAGGCGGATCTCTGAGTTCAAACCCAGCCTGGTCTACAGAGCTAGTTCCAGGACAGGCTCCAAAGCCACAGAGAAACCCTGTCTCGAAAAACCAAAAAAAAAAAAAAAAAATCAGAGATAGAAAAAACTTTTAAGAATGCCAAGGCCCTAGGTTCTACCTTTAGTACCACAAAACCTAGACAAAGAAACAACAAAAAAGAGGGTAAATTTTTCTTTTCTGAGACATGGTTTCTCTGTAGCTTGGGAGCCCATCCTGGAACTCGCTCTGTAGACCAGGGTGGCCTTGAGCTCATAGAGATCTGCCTATCTCTGGTACTGAAGGTGTGTGTCACAACTGCCCAGCTAAGGGTATTTTATCTGCTTCCATGAGCTATGTCTTATTTGGTCTTGTCAGAGGCACAGTTAAACAGGAAGTGTGTCTGATAGCCTTTAGTAATGGCAGGTATTATTCAACCAAAACATACCAAGTGGGAGTTGCTTCTTCTTTTGGGATAGGGTCTCTTTATGTAGCCCTGGCCGGCCTGAAACTCTCTATGAAGACCAGGCTATGAGACCAGGTTAGTCTTGAGATGGTAGAGACCTGTCTGACTCTGCCTCCTGAGTGCTGGGATTCAAGTGTTCACCACCACAACCGACAGGCAAGTCATGGTTTCTTAAATGTTGCATGATAGAATATGGACTTATGTTCTTTGTACATGGTGTAAGAACTCTCTTATCTAAGAACACCCAGAAAAGTAGTCAGGCATGGAGGTGCATGTCTGTAATCCTAGCACTTGGGGCAGGGGAACAGGAGTTCAAAAAAATCCTCAGTCACATAGTGAGTTCCAGGCCAATGTGGGCTACATAAAGTCATGTCTTAGAAAAAGTAAATCAAAGCAAGACAATAAAATAATGCACACACCCCTCAAGCAAAGAAACACATGTAGTAGTAAAGAGGCATCTATCTAGAATTGTTCTCAGGGTTCAAGAGGAAAAAGTGTGTGTGTCTGTGTGTGATAGAGACACAAAGTAAGGGAAGAAAGGAGGGAGAGAGGGAATGAGGAAAAACTAAGGAAAACTTATTGAATGTTTACAGTTGAGAAATCTGAGTGCCATTTTGCACCATACTCTGGTAGGCCCAGTAATAGGCTGTCATCTCCCCAAATCTTACTTCCTGTTGATACTCCAGTAAATCTCAGAGCCCAGGCAGATTTGTCAAGGGGAACCTACGACAGAGATGACCCATGACAACTGGCAGGCTTCCTAAGCAATAAAACCAGAGAGCACAAAGTGCCATTAGGATGGACCAAATCAATTTTTTGGTCTTCTAAAACTTAATAGAAGGCACTGCAGAGGCAGCCCAGCAGTTAAGAGCATTGTTGCTTTGGAGGACTTCCCAGCACCCATATAGTAGCTCCCAACCATTTATAACTCTAGTTCTAGGGGATCTGATGCCCTCTTGAACTCCAAAGGTACCAGGCATGTACCTGGTAAACATATATACCTGCAAACACGCATACACATACATTTTTAAAGTATATTAAAAAATTTAAAGAAACAAAACTTGTTAGTTGAAAAAGTTTATAATGAAATCATTATCTATCTATCTATCTATCTATCTATCTATCTATCTATCTATCTATCTTAGCTATGTTGCCCTGGCTGTCCTGGAACTTATTCTGCAGGCCAGACTAACCTTGAACTCTAGAGCTCCACCTCCTCAATCTCCCAAATGTTGAGATTAAGGGATGACTGAGAAACACAGGTATGTACAGTGTGAAAAGTGGGTGTCACCACCCATGTAAGCACCCTAGTCGAAGCAGCAGGCAGTGACTGCATCAGTTTCAAATTATGCAGAAAAGTTAAAGAGAACAAAATGGGCTCTTCTGTCACCAAGAAGAAATTAACTTTCCCAAGCTTTCAGAAACCTCTTACTCTGCTCTGGATAAAAGTCATGGTTAAAGATGTAGTTCAGGCCAGGCAGTGGTGGTGCATGCCTTTAATCCCAGAACTCAGGAGGCAGAGGCAGGCAGATCTCTGTGAGTTCAAGGCCAGCCTGGTCTACAAGGGCTAGTTCCAGGACAGGCTCCAAAGCTACAGAGAAACCCTGTCTCGAAAAACCACCAAAAAAAAAAAAAAAAAAAAAAAAATAGCCATAGTTCAGGCACTGAGCAGTTGTGTAGCACCTCAGGCCCCCGAGTCTGACCCCAGCATCTAACAACAATTAAATATGACGCGGGGGCCTTCTGCATTTATTCCTAGGTTTTACTTTGATTGTAAAACACATGAAGGCTCCCAGTGTGGATACAGTGAACTGTGATCCTCCAAAGACAAGTTAGCTCCCAATCTAGCACCCATGATCTCAACTCACTTAGGAACTGGGTCTCTAGATAGTGAACCAAACAGAGGTTGTTTGGTAGGCAGTAAACCAATAGGACCAGTGTCCTTAGAAGAACAGATTCAGATAATCAGTCCCAGAACCCTTAAAGTGGAGGCAGGAAGACTACAGTTAGTTTGAGGCCAGCATGGGTTACAGCGGGAGGATCTATCACAAGACAAATGAAAAAAAAAAAAAGACATATAAATGCCATGCGATAGCAGAGGCAGCGAGCAGAGTCTGTGGCAACAGGCCAAAACCAGACTGGCATCGCCACTACAAGGTACAAAAGCAAAGAAGATACCCAGTGTGTCAGAAAAGCATGGCTTATTGACATTTTTGACTTTAGATTTATAGCTCCCAAATTTAGAACACATTCTATTTCTGCTCTTTTTTTTAGGGTTTTTTTTTTTTTTTTGTTTGCTTGTTTTATTTATTTATTTTGGTATTGTTTTGTTGGTTTTTGAGACAGGGTCTTCTCTCTATTATGTAGCTCTGACTGTCCTAAAACCCACTCTGTGATCACACCGGTCTCAAACTCAGAGATCTGCCTGCCTCTACCTCCTAAAGGCGTGCGCCACCATGCATGACTCAATTTCTGTACTTTCAAACTTCCTGGCTTGCATTCCTCGGACTAAAACGAATGACCCCCAGCAATTTCAATTTGAAATTCTTGGCTGATGTACCATTGGCCATATTTCTTCCTGAGGAAGTTGCACTCCCGTCTTCCTGGCTCTGGTCTGGCAGAGAAGAAACTTGTGTAGTAGTTCTGAGGTCTTGGTTTTCCTGCTTTTCTTGATTCTGTAATGTAGTAGGATCACTTCTTTTTATCGCAGAATGATCCTGTAACAAATTTTGAAAGAAAGAAAAAAAAAAAAGAGCAATTCTAAAAAAATAAGGTGTGTGTGTGTGGGGTGAGGGTCAGTCAGAAGAACAGGAGCGGAATAAGACTCCTGAGTGGTTTCGTTTGACCCAGTGTTCTGAGACTACAATTTCAAAAATGGAGACCCTAGAGGCCACTAGGAAGAATGGAAGGTTTGTTCCCAGGAAGTAATACTAAGACACATCTTCTTAATCCATGGGGCCATACAACTAAACGTGGGGGCAAGAATCTGGCAACAGGAAAGACTGAACATGAAGTAACCCAAATTAATTCAAAACCGAATATGAAATAAACCTGAGTTTGATTCCTGGGAAATCTTGAGTTTCTCCATGACAGAAAGAGGAAAAATACTTCTGAAAGCTGTCTTCTGACTTCCACATGCAAGCCTTGGCATATGCCCAACCTCCACCACACCCCTCTCTCCATGTGCAAGCCACCAGTCCCCACCCATCCCCTCCACATGCAAGTCATGGCATGTACCCCACCCCCACCCATCCCCTCCATATGCAAGTCATGACATGTACCCACAGCCCCCACCCATCCCTTCCACATGTAAGTCATGGCATGTACCACAGTTTCCTCCACATGCAAGTCATGGCATGTACCCCCAGTCCCCATCCATCCCCTCCACATGCAAGTCATGGCATGTACCCCCAGTCCCCATCGATCCCCTCCACATGTAAGTCATGGCATGTACCCCCAGTCCCCACCATCCCCTCCACTTGCAAATCATGACATGTACCCCAGCCCCGCCATAGCCCCTCCACATGCAAGTCATGACATGTACCCTAGCCCTGCCATAGCCCCTCACAGCACAACAGTTTTAGAATGGTATTGAGGTGCTGGGGAGATGGCACAGCGGTTCAGAGCACTGGATGCTTTTCCAGAACCACATGGTGGGTCAACATCATCTCTAACTCCAGTTTCAGGGAATTTAATTCCCTTTCTGGCCTTCAAGGGTACAAGGAATGAACATAACATGTGACATACAAGCAGGTGAAACAGTCATACAGATAAAAAAGTAAACTTAAAGTAATTAAGGCACACCTTGTGATAGTTTGAAAGAAAATGGCCCCCATAGGGAGTGGCACTATTAAGAGGTGTGTGGCTTTGTTGGAGGAAGTATATGCATCGTTATAGGTGTGGGCCTTGAGGTCTCATGTGCTCAAGCCCAATGTCCCAGACTCCTTCTGTTGCCTGCGGATCAAGATGTAGAACTCTCAGCATCTTCTCCAGCATTATATCTGTCTGCCCAATGCCATGTCCTACCATGACAATAACGGACTAAATCTTCTGTAAGCTGTCTCTTCAAAGCAATAAAAACCCTGACTAAGACATACATACATCTTTAAATCCAGCACTTGGGAAGCAGAAGCAGGCAGACCTCTGTGAGTTCAAGGCCAGCTTGGTCTTCTAGAATAGCTGCACAGTGAAACTCTGTCCCCCATTCCTCAAAAATTAAGAAAAAATAATTAAAAAAAACCCACTACAAAGCAAAAAATAGAAATTAGCATAGGCATGTTGGCTCATTCCTATAATTCCAACATTTGGGTTGAGGCAGGAGAATTACTGTTGTGGGATATGTGTACACTGTGTGAAGATATATTGCTGTGATTGATTTAATAAAGAGCTGAGGGCCGGGGGCTGGAGAGATTGCTCAGAGGTTAAGAGCACTGACTGCTCTTCCAGAGGTCCTGAGTTCAGTTCCTAGCACCCACATGGTGGCTCACCCATCTATAATGGGATCCAATGCCCTCCTCGGGTGAGCAGAGGGACATGCAGACAGAGCACTCATAGAAATAAATAAATCGAAACTTTAAAAAAGAATTTTTTTCTTTCTTTTTTTTTTTTTTTTAAGTTTTTCGAGACAGGGTTTCTCTGTGTAACAGCCCCAGCCATCCTGGAACTAGCTCTTGTAGGCCAGGCTGGCCTCTGCCTGCCTCTGCCTCCCAAGTGCTGGGATTAAAGGCATGCGCCACCACCGCCCGGCTTAAAAAAAAAAAAGAATTCTTTTAAAAATGCTTAAAAATAAACAATAAAATCAGTATAATCAAAGCAAGTGAGGAAAGTGCTTAGCTATTCATCACGACCATACACTACTGAAAAACCAAGCACAGGATGACGACCAGGCCAGGAGCAAATAAGAAAGAGAACTTAAAACTACACTTCAGGTTGATCGCAGACAACCTATGTGAACGATATATGAGCATCCACATTGATCCAATCAATTTTTGTATGAATTGCACATGGAAGTATGTATACATGGAATAGGAAGGTGCTGTGTGTGTAGGGGGGGCTCTCTATTACTCTCTCTGCTCCTCTGAGGCAGGCTCTCTCACTGAACTTGTTTCTAGGTTAGACTGGCGGCCAACAAGTCCCAGAGATGTTGCGTCCACTCCCTCAGCGCTAGAGCTACAGCTGTGCATGAGACTACATCTGGCTTTCACGTGGGTACCAGCATCTGAACTCCAGAGCAGCGAGCTCTCTCAACCCCAGAGACATCTCTCACCTTCCTCCAGCCCCTTTGTGAGTATTTAGTTTGTACGTCATACTCGTTATTTCTTCCCATGTGCTGGGGACAGAGGTATGGTGGGCTACAGTAGACACAGGTATGTAACTTTTGAGGGGCTTGCAGCGTATTGTATGTTTCCAGCCATCTGGGTTGCCAGGGAAGGAAAGCAGAAGCTCACTAAAAATATGCCGGTTATGGAAGGTTATGGTTGTATGGTGGCTTCTCTTCAGTTTGCATAGTTCCACTCACCTGGAAGTTAGGAACTTGATGGTCTGTCTTGCGCTTCCTTCTTGTTTTGGTGACATGATCGACTGGTTCCCTCTCAGCTTGCTCCTCACAGCTAATTTGTATCTCGGTCTCATCACCGGAGAATGCAGAAGACTGATTCTCATCCTGGAAAACAAGACAGTGTGAGCCATATCCTGTATGTACAGTAGCTACCGCATCCTAAGCCAAAGTGACTTGTCACAGGTAAACAGAAGCAGCACTTGCATTTTCATAAATGAAAAGTGAAACGTTACTATAGGATTACAGTGTGGTAAGAAAGCAGAGCATCCAAAACAGACCTGCTTACATAAGAAATCATTGTTAGCTGGGCAGTGGTAGTGCGCGCCTTTAATCCCAGTACTTAGAAAGCAGAGGAAGATGGATCTCTGGAGTTTGAGGCTAGCCTGCTCTACAGAGCGAGTTCCAGGACAGCCAGAGCTACACAGAGAAACTCTGTCCCAAAAAACAAACAAAATAAATCATTGTTAATGGCTAATATTGGGTATTCAGTAATGAAAGGAACCTTTCCCACTGATATATAGAAGCCATTAACAAAGGGACAAGGGCAGTAGGAAGAGACATTCTGATAGACCTGTAGACACATGAACTAACCCCAAAGAAGCACAGGATAGAAGGCAATGAAAATAATAGGAATATTCGAATATAGAAAATGGGCAAGGTGTGGTGGCTAGAACCTCAATTTCCAGCACTAGGAGGCAGAGGCAGGTAGATCTCAGTTTCGGGCCACATTAGTCTATGTGGAACCCCAAGCCAGCTAGAGTCTCACACGCACACAACTGGGAGATGAGCAGATGAATAATAGTAAAAATTGCCGGGTGGTGGTGGTGTACGCCTTTAATCCCAGCACTCGGGAGGCAGAGGCAGGCGGATCTCTGTGAGTTCGAGGCCAGCCTGGTCTAGAAGAGCTAGTGCCAGGACAGGAACCAAAAAGTTACAGAGAAAAACTGTCTCGAAAAAATCCAAAAAAAAAAAGAATAGTAAAAATTTCAAAACTGGGCATGATGGCACGTACCTATGATGCCAACATTTTAGAGGTAAAAGTGGGAGGATAAAAAGGTCAAGGTCAAATCTGAGGACAGTTTGGCCTATGAGAGACCTTGTCTCAAAACAAAAGCAAAATTTTCAAAGCCATCTGGAGAGATGGCTTAGCAGTTAAGAGCACTTGCCACTTTTGCAGAGGACTGAAGTTTGGTTCCCAGTACCCAGGACAGGTAACTCACAACCTCCTGTAACTCCAGCTTCTGGCTGGAGTCACCCCAATGGAATCCACAAAGCATGCTCTCCAAATCCTCTTACCACACCCACACCCACACACCCCTCAACACTCACATTTTATAAGGAAACAAAACGGGACTGGAGAGATGATTCAGTGGTTAAGGGCACTTGTTGCTCTTACAGAGATCTTATTCCCATATAATAAAACAAACAAACCTAAAAACAATAACAACAACAACAACAACAAAAAAACTAAAGAAAACCTGTTCCTTAACCTGGGTGTTTATGACTTTAATCTCTACCCACCTCTCCTGCGTCTCTTACACCTCAGAATCTATACTTAACTTGGTTTGTTTATTTTGTTTTCTTTTTTGTTTGTTTTGTTTTTCTCTGTGCATCCTTGGCTGTCCTAGAACTCACAATGTAGACTAGGCTGGCCTACAAACACAGATATCCATCTACCTCTGCCACCTGAATGCACCATCAGGCCTGGCCTTTGGTTTTCTTGTGAAGACAGGGTCTTACAAGAGCTTAGGCTGGTACTGAACTTCCACCTCAGTCCGTGGAGGTCTGGATTAGAGGCATGTGCCATGACATCTGGGTACTTTTGCATTTGTCTAAGGATATCTTAATTCGTTAGATAACGTGGCATTTTCATCGTTTATAACAATGATGAGACAATTCAGTCCCTGGTCCTATTACTAATGATGATAACATCATATAATAAATAAACATATCTTTTTCTTTGTTTTTGCTTTGTTTTGTTTTTGAGCTAGGTTCAAGATCTGGCCTATAACTCTAGTAGCCTGTGCTGGCTTCACCTCCAATACTGGGCTTTCAAGTATGAGCCTGTACACCGTCCACTACATCTCAAATCATCACGAATTAAGTATTAATTGTTTTTTAACTAAACACAACATTTTACTAGCTAACAACTGATAAAGAACATTACTCACCTGATTTTTATTTTCTTTCCTTATTTCTGGGTTCAGGTGAGCTTTCAAGGCTCTTAACAACTTGTCTGCCTGTAGAAAGAAGAGCGTTTATTACATTCAAAGTCAAATAGGTAAGGAAGCAATGCGAGACACCTCTTTTCTTCTGTTTATTGAATGTCCTTAGTCAGGCTGGCAGTGGCCTGGACAGAAATGAATTTCACACTCCAGGGACAAAATCAGGTAATGAAAACAGACATACAATGCAATACAATGGGGTAAGTATGTGAGCAAGCTTTGGATGTATGGGTTCGATAGGACCAATGCCAGCAGGTGATGGGATGCCCCAGATTTAAGACAGATGTCCTGGCTAGGGTTGCTGAGATCTTGAAAATGGAGAAGAGAGCTAAGAGAACAGGACAGATGATGACCAAGTTCAGCATGGCTGGAACCCTGAGCTAATGGAAAAGTATTCAGGAGTACAATTTTGCTAGCTAGGCCTGCCTCTTAAGGCCCCTTGAGAATAAACTTTGTCCTTGCAGCAAAGAGCAGTCTCTAAAGAGTTGGCTTCAGAGCAGTGGGCAAACACTGGATGCTTAGGAAACCAGAACTGTGTCTGAACTGAAGAGACAGATGAAACCTTCAAAGGAATTAGCAGCAATATCAACTTGGCTAGGGAAACTTCTCTGGGCCAGTTTCTCTGGTGGGCAGGTGGTACCATATAGTGAGGGTCTTACAAACCCTTGGGAAAAGGGAAGTCACTTTCCACTCCAGCAAAGCTTCCCTGTCTTTTCTGGAAGACAAATAATAACCTGCCTGGCTTTCCTTTTTTAAAAGGTCAAATGGAGTCAGGAAAGCAATTCCCTGAGATTTCTAGGCCAACCTGGTCTATAGAATGAGACCCTATTTCAAAATAATCAAAGGTCAAGTATATTAGTTAGGTTCTTTTTTCCCCCTATTACACCCACCCAGATTTATAGTTGAGGGTCAAACACTTTTTTTTTTTTTTTTTTTTTTATATTTCTTTATTTATTATGTATACAATACTCTGTTTGTGTGTATGCCTGCAGGCCAGAAGAGGGCAGCAGACCCCATTACAGATGGTTGTGAGCCACCATGTGGTTGCTGGGAATTGAACTCAGGACCTTTGGAAGAGGAGGCAATGCTCTTAACCTCTGAGCCATCTCTCCAGCCCTGTTTTTTTTTTTTTTTGAGACAGGGTTTCTTTGTAGCTTTGGAGCCTGTTCTGAAACTAGCTCTAGTAGACCAGGTTGGCCTTGAACTCACAGAGACCTGCCCCCTCTGCCTCCTGAGTGCTGGGATTAAAGGCAGGATTAAAGGTGTGCACCACCACCACCCAGCTCAACACTTTTTGAAAAATAAAAATTTTATTTATATTTTTTAAAAAAATTCGCCGGGCGGTGGTGGCGCACGCCTTTAATCCCAGCACTCGGGAGGCAGAGGCAGGCGGATCTCTGTGAGTTTGAGACCAGCCTGGTCTACAGAGCTAGTTCCAGGACAGGCTCCAAAACCACAGAGAAACCCTGTCTCAAAAAACTTAAAAAAAAAAATTTTTTTAAAGATTTATTTATTTATTACATATACAGTGTTCTGCTTGCATGTATGGTTGCACGCCAGAAGAAGGCAACAGATCTCATTATAGATGGTTGTGAGCCACCATGTGGTTGCTGGGAATTGAACTCAGGACCTCTGGAAGAGCAGTCAGTGCTCTTAACCTCTGAGCCATCTCTCCAGCCCTAAAAAAATTCTTAGCTGGGCATGGTAGCACATGCTTTTAATCCCAGCACTCAGGAGACAGAGGTAAGCAGATTTCTATGAGTTTGAAGCCAGCCTGGTCTACATAGTGAGTTCCAAAACAGTCAGAACTGTATAGTGAGACCCTGCCTCCTCCCCCCCCCCCAAAAAAAGAAAATAGAATGACTTAAACATTTTTGTATTTTTTTAAGCAGGGTTTCTGTGTAGTCCTGGCAGTCCTGGAACTAGCTCTGTAGACCAGGCTGGTCTTGGACTCAGAGTTCTGCCTGACTTTGCCTCTGACTCCTGAGTGTTTGGGATTAAAGGCATGCACCACCACCAACTGGCTTAAAAATTTAATTAAAATACAATTACAACTCCCGCCCCCCAACCACTCCTTTCTCCTTCAGCCTCTGTTCATGTACCTGGTCCGGCTAGTTCTCAAATTCATGTTGTTTTATACACACACACACACACACACACACACACACCCCTAAGTATATAAATACAACATGGTCAGTCCGTGTTTCTTGTTTGTATATGATTCTATGCACTTAAGATAGGCTCAGCTTCTAAATTTGGCTCTAGGAAACTGTCCCTCTCACACGACGTATCATTAATCAGTAGTAAATGGCAAAGCCTGAAATTTTTCTGCCCTTTAAGTACAGAAGTCTTGTTGGGGCGTGAGCCTAAGTCACATGCTTCAACTGTGCTAGAGTTCTCTGAACGAAGCCACCCAACTATTAAGAAAATTTCCTACTCAATGAACCTAACCTGAGGTTTCCTCTCAGAAGAGGTCATCCTGGTAATTTTTGTTGTTGTTTTGTTTTTTGGGTTTTTTTTTTTTCCTTTTTTTTCCAGACAGGGTTTCTCTGTGTAGCCCAGGCTGGCCTCGAATTCACAGAGATTAACCTGTCTCTACTTCCCAAGTGCTGGGATTAAAGGCCTGCACCACCACCGCCCCGCTAGGTGCAAACTGTGTATCCCAGTGCATACGCGGGGTTCAGAGGACAGTTTCCTAGAGTCAGCTCTCTCCTTCGGCCATGTGGGCCACGACCCCAGGTGTGTGTGCTAAGCACTGTTCTAGGAGCTGAGGACTGGCGAACAGAACAGACAAGCCTGCAGCTGCTCCCCACTGGACTAATGTGAAAATAGCATATTAACCAAGTAAGCTAGAAATAACACCTCGGAGGCTAGGAAGCAAAACCTAAACCACGTGAGAGAGATGGGCTGGGTCGGGATGCAAATGAGATTAGAGGCAGCAGATGTCGTGGGATAATTAATTACAGTCAGGCAGAGGTGGTGGTACAAGCCAAGCCAAGCATCTGTGGCCTCGTTCCGTTTAAACCATTTAAAATCATTTGTGATACCCGAACAGATATTTAGGTTAAATATCAGTTTGCCGTACAAATCTCTGGGGTACATACACATGTGGGAAACCTCAACTCCAACACAGCAAGCCCCAATCTAACAATAAATGACATTTTCCTCTAAACACCTTGCAAAAGTCCTAACCAGTTTTGAAAAATACCATCACAAAAGTGATCTGTGTATGCCGGGATCGCTAGGCACCCCAATTAAGGCCCATGAGAATGAAGATACTAACAGAGTTTACTGAACAATGGTAGTTTGGAGATTTTCAGAAGCCAATTCAACTTTTCCTTCAACTGCCTAATAACCGGCATTAGTCAATATACTGATTATGTCTTATGGGCCTGCGTTTCCCATCTGGTACCAGGGAAGTATCATTGGAGTTTCCAGTAAAAGGTTCTTTATGAGTTCCCGGAAAAAAAGCCTCCAAATAAAATAAGTCATAGCTTCTCTTTCGTTTAACAAATTCCACCCACCGTGAACCAAAGCTACTCAACCCAAAACAGCGTCCCCGGGGGCGTTCTCTCGGTCCCTTCGTCCCGTGTCCCCCACACCCCGCCCACCCAACTGCCCGCACCACCAGCCAGCACCGTACCCTCAGGTTAGCCCGGAGGCCCAGCTTTTTGGCTAAATTTTGCAGGTCACTGTACTTGAAGGAGTCCAGCTCCTCTGCAGAGGGGACGGTCATCGCGTTCTGTAATCCCGGCGACACCCAGAAAAACAGCCAGACAACTCAAACAACACCGTTCAAAACTGGCGCCACCCGAGGCATTGACAAGCCGACTTTTATATTCAGTTTAAATGAAGACTGCTGTGCGTCCATTGGCTGAACGCCTCGAGGGTGGAGTTTCCGATGTTAGCCAATAGAGCGGCTGAAACGCTCTTGTCGCACGCCTAACTAATGCGCAGACGCTCCACGGGTTGTGGGCGTGTCTTACAGGCATGTTGTCCAATGAGGACGCAGAAAACTTCATTTGGGTGGAAGCTGGCGCGTGCGTTTAAAAAAAAAAAACAGGGAAGAAAAAAAAGAGGCGCGGGCTTCAAAAAGATGGCACGGTCGTCGCGCAGCCCCTCGTCCCTGGAGACGCAGTCTTGCAGTGACTCTTGTGACTCGCCTTTGTCTTTTACTACCTCCATGGAGTGGGACACCCAGGTGGTGGCAGGGTCCTCCCCTCTAGGTCTGAGGACTGAGATGGAGGGGTCACCCGTCGACCTGCGGCTGCCTGAGTGGTTGGAACCCGAGAGGTGTGCCGTGTTCCATTGCGCACGTTGCTACGCGGTGCTCGCTGACACCGTGCATTTAGCCTGGGACCTGTCGAGGACTCTCGGGGCCGTGGCATTCTCCAGTGAGTGAGGCGAGGGCAGGAGGAGGGGCACTCCCGACGACTCGGAACGGAGAGGAAGTGGGTGAGGAAGGCGAGTTTTGTTTTCCCGAGCAGAACCTTAAAGCCTGGACCTCTCAGGAGCTGAGCTTGCGCTTTTAACTGAGCCCCCCCCCCCCCTTTTATGTTGACTTTATGACCAGGGTGAGTCTGGTGGGAGGTTTTCCTGTTCAAAACCCGTTTGTCTTTCAGGAGTCACAAACAATGTCGTTTTGTTCGAACCCTGTCTGGTTGGCATTGAAGGTTTTCTCAAATGCAGGTACGTGTGGAGAATTCCTGAGGTGGATCTATAGTTCTTGATTTAGTGATACTGAGGAGTACCTAATTATCATAAACAAGAAGAAAACTTATTTTTGTTGTGGCGTAAGTTTATTAAATTCATAAATATGTTTGGATGAAATACTTTTTATGCATTTGAATCATATCAACAGGACATTAATGAAATGAAAATTAGAGTTGGGTGTATATTTTAACGTCTGAGGACCACATCCTATGAGATAATTAGGACTATTTAAATTTAACTTGGAGTTTATAGTATAAATCATGACAGGACTGATTCGGTAATAATCTCCGAAACCAGGGAACAGAGTTGAATGGTATTTGAGTATTGCTAGTAATTTGCATCTTCCCTTGCTAATACTTTCCCATAGCAGTAAAGCACTCAGCAAATTTGTGCTTAGGAGGCTAAAACTCTTAAGACTTTGCCAAACTAAAGACACATTCCTGTCCCTAGAGGAGTCCCTTCTTACCCAGTGGCTCTTGCCTTTTAATCTCAACACTCTGTGGTGTGTATTTGGTTGGGCAGAGGGAGGCGATTCCCTGAGTTCCAGACCAGCCGGGTCTATAAAGAGTTTCAGGACAGCCAGAGCTGTTACACAGAGAAACCCTGTCTTGAAAAACAAAAACAAACAAGCACAAAATGATGTGTGTGAGTGTAGTTGTGGTGTATGGCACACATATTGTGTGAGTGTGGTTGTGGGGTATGGCACACATATTGTGTGAGTGTGGTTGTGGGGTATGGCATACATATTGAAGTCCAAAGGCAACCTGAAGGCATCTTTCTTTTCACCACGCTGGTCCCAAGAATTAAAACTCAGCTCCTCAGGCTTGGCAGCAAGTGCCTTCACCCATCAAGCCATCTCACTGGGCCTGGAGTGACATTTTTGATATTTGTATTTAGTTACATAAAATAACTGAATCTCACAAAATCTTTTATTTTTGTTCTTAGTAATAATGGTCTTGCCTTGACTTTATAATTCTGCCTCTGCCTCCCAAGTGCTGGGTTCTCAAGTATGGGAACCTACATTAAACCTCTTTTAAAAAGCCTGATAAAAAGTTGTAATTATCTATTTGGAGATGTGCCATAGCTTAAAAATACAATACTTGCCTAACTTGTATGAGGTGCTAGAGTTGATCTGTGGTACTTCAAGAAAATACATACAAGAATAGAGTTAGGGCTGGAGAGATGGCTCAGTGGTTAAGAGCATTGCCTGTTCTTCCAAAGGTCCTGAGTTCAATTCCCAGCAACCACATGGTGGCTCACAACCATCTGTAGTGAGTTCTGGTGCCCTCTTCTGGCCTGCAGATATACACACAGACAGAATATTGTATCCATAATGAATAAATAAATAATTAAAAAAAAAGAATAGAGTTAGATTTCTGTTTCACATTATAATCTAAGGATAGTTTTATTATCTTTATTACTTTAGTGTTTGTGGGGGGAGATTATGTGTGTATTCATAGCTGGGTGGACATGTGAGGGTGAGAGGCGTCAGTCTCTGCTGTTGGGGTCTCCTGAGGATCAGATTCCGCTCACCACGCTTGGTAGCAGGCACCTTCACCTGTAAAGCTGTCACTCCAGCCCTGATTTCCTCCCTGGGTTCATCTAATTGGTTTTTTGTTTTTGTTTGTTTTTTTTTTTTAAATATTATTTATTTATTTATTATGTATACAATATTCTGTCTCTGTGTATGCCTGCAGGCCATAAGAGGGCACCAGACCCCATTACAGATGGTTGTGAGCCACCACGTGGTTGCTGGGAATTGAACTCAGGACCTTTGGAAGAGCAGGCAATGCTCTTAACCTCTGAGCCATCTCTCCAGCCCCTTGTTTTTGTTTTTTAATTGTTTTTATTGAGTTATATATTTTTCTCCCCTCCCCTTCTACCCTCTCCCAATTTACTCAGGAGATCTTGTCTTTTTCTATTTCCCATGTAGATTAGATCCATGTATGTCTCTCTTAGGGTCCTCATTGTTGTCTAGGTTCTTTGGGATTGTGAATTGTAGGCTGGTTTTTCTTAGCTTTATTTCTAAAAGCCACTTATGAGTGAGTACATATTGTAAGCAAATGTGTTATAGTAGTGTTGCAGGGATACCCTGACTTATCGGGAAGCCAGGATATACTTAGAGCTGCAATAGGACAGCTCTGGAGAGGGGGTAGAGCCACAGTAGGACAGCTCTGGAGGCTGGAGCTGCAATGGGACAGCTCAGTTCTGGAGAGAAGGTGTCCTGACTATCAGGAATCCAGGCTACTTGAAGCTGGGGCGCGGACGGGAGGGGTGGATAGTCTCCCTGAAGGATATAGGGATCCTGTTCTCCTGGAGAGCACCGCTACAGCTGAGTTCTGCTCCATTCTCTTTAGGGAGCGTCTTAGCAGAACTATCTGCTTCTTACTCCAGCCCAAGATGTTTCTTCTTACTAACACTCTGCTAAAGGAAAGCCCCCCTAGCCTGGTCTACAAGAGCTAGTTCCAGGACAGGCTCCAAAACCACAGAGAAACCCTGTCTCGAAAAACCAAAAAAAAAAAAAAAAAAGGAAAGCCCCCAGCAGTAATGTAGCAATCTCCTCCTGCTTGGCCTTGCTCAGCCTCCCTTAAGGAACATTCTAGCAAGGTTCTTCTTTTCTGCTCTCCCTTGCTGAGATGCTCCTCCCAGCCAGGTTCTTCTGGTCTTGTGGTCTGCACTGGTGAATGAAGGTCGTCACTCAAGACTCTTTTGAGAAAGAGATTTATTTGGGAAGGAGAAATCCAGGAGAGTGGCCTCCTCTGCCCCCGAGGCAGCTCTTAACTAAAGGGGTGAGAGGCTTTTATAGGGCTTCTTAAGGGCGTAGTTTTCCCAGGGTGAAGGGAAGTGATCAGAAGCAGTTCAGAAATTAATATTTTGTCACAAATTTTGTTCTTTGTTGTTTCTTTTGAGATGAGTCTTCTCTAGCCCAGCTGTCCTTGGAAGCCTGTGAGTTTGAACCTGAGAGCCCCTGCCCAGCGTCTGAGTGATGAGATCACCATCGAGGGCAGCAGCAGTGTTTCCTTGTTCTCTGGGTTTTCTCACGTTATCCTCTGCTTCTTCCCATTCCCAACAGCACGTACAACCGTCTGTTCTGTGGTTCCTGTCAGGTTCCTGTTGGTTTCCATCTGTATTCCACCCATGCTGCTCTGGCTGCCTTGAGAGGCCACTTCTGCCTCTACTGTGATAAAATGCTGTGGTGAGTAGACAGTGACATTGTTACCAAATAAGGGGTTCAAATCTTCTAGCAGAATCCAGGTGTGGATAACTAAAGAAGATGCAAACGGCCAGGCACTAAAGACAAAATATAACTCTGTGATAAATACAATTACTTCGGATGTTTTATTGTATCATGTCTTAATAGTCATATGAAATAATTTAAGAGCATTCATTCGTTAAGGGAAATTCTGAGAGTTATGCTTTTGCAAAATAGTGTCAGGGATAACTTGGTTTGCTGCTGTGCCTCATGTCCTTCTTATACATAGGACTTGGCCTGCACGGTACCCAGCCTCAAAGAAATATATATGTAGTCGGGCAGTGGTGGTGTACGCTTTTAATCCCAGCACTCGGGGGCAGAGACAGGTGGATCTCTGTGAGTTTAAAGTCAGTCTGGTCTACAAAGCAAGTTTCAGGACAACCAGAGTTAAACAGTGAAACCCTGTCTCGAAAAATGAAGGAAGGAAGGAAGGAAGGAAGATTGAAGATATATAACTCATCCAACTAAGCCAGTCAGATTTTTCTATTCCAGCAATTTGAAATGAGGGCTGTCTTGGTTACTTGTCTAGTGACAGGACAACATAGCATACCTGGCAAAAGCAACCTTAAGGGAGGGAGGGCTTACTGTGGCTCACAGTCTGTGGGTATAGTCCATCATGGTGGGAAGCCATGGAGGTGGCTGGTTGGATTGTGTCAGCAGGCAGGAAGCAGAGATTAATGCTAATCCTCAGCTTCCTTTCTCTGTCTTTTAATGACTTACATTTATTTTTTATGTGCATTTGTGTTTTGTATCATGTATGTGTATGTGAGGATGTAACAAGTCACAGACAGTTGTGGGCTGCCAAATGTTTGCTGGGAATTGACCCCAGATCCTCTGGAAGAGGAGCCAGTGTTCTTAACCATGCTGGGCCATGTCTCCAGCCCTTGCTTTCTCATTTTTATTTTTAGTACAGTACTCTAGCCTGTGGAATGGTGCTGCTCGCTTATAGAGGGCACCTTTGCATAGAGGCCTGTTCCCATGTCATCCCAGATCTGTCAAGGTGATAATATTGACCACATGACCTAGAGTCATTTTTAAGATGATACTCGTGCTGAGCTTGGAAAGTGAGTACTCTACACTCGGAATAACTATCTTCTGCACTTGACTCCAGACACAGAGAAAATCTTACCTGATGGAAAAGATGAATGAAATGAAGACTGGAGTATAGTAATGACTGTGTGATCTCATTTACTATTTTTTACATTGGCTATTTTATCATCTTCCTAGCTAATTAAACATTTGGCTTACAGTATTTTATTTTCATGAAACTGAACAGGCTGGAGAAACGGCCCAGAGGTTAAAATTACTAGAGCTCTGTCAGAGTACCAGAGTTCAGACTCCAGCACCAACCTTCCTGTTTCCCCAGTGACAGGACCAAGGTACACCTCACCCTGCCCAGCCTTCAGTGAATTGTTTACTCACGGTAGTTATTCATTTGATTCTGGGTTTGTTTTCAGTTCTCACGAGATAATTTTGTCTCTGAGAATGTGAAAGGATAAGGCAGAGTTTGTGGTTTTAATTGAAAATCTGTTTTTCCAAATAAAATACACCATGGTCCTTGAAGCCACTAAGGCAGGCTTTGATTAATGTGTAATGGTACTAATACTTTATATATTTTCTCTCTAGCTATGTCTTGAAAACAAAGACCATAGTAAATGCTTCTGAGATGGATATTAACAACCTGCCTCTCCAAGAAAAGATTGCAGAGGTAAGCTTGATTATGTAGTTAGTTACTTAATATACACAACTTTTTTTTTGTTTTATTTTTTTGGTTTTTTTTGAGACAGGGTTTTTTTTTTTTTTTTTTTTTTTTTGGTTTTTCAAGACAGGGTTTCTCTGTGGTTTTGGAGCCTGTCCTGGAACTAGCTCTTGTAGACCAGGCTGGTCTCGAACTCACAGAGATCCGCCTGCCTCTGCCTCCCGAGTGCTGGGATTAAAGGCGTGCGCCACCACTGCCCGGCAGTATACACAACTTTTTCGTTTTCTTTTTAGAGACAGGATTTTACTTTGTACCTGTGACTGGTCATATTAACTATGTAGACCAGACTGTCCTAGAATTCAGCTATATCCTTTCACTTATATAGGCAAGTGTGTATGTGTGTGTTGGGAATTTTTTTTAAAGATTTTTATTTTAAATCTGGTAACATTATATAAACAGCAAATTGAGGGCTGAGTGAGTTTAAGAGTATCCTCAATCTATGTCTCTTCCCAGCTGAAAGAGAAGATAATACTAACACATGCTCGATTAAATTCACTGACAAAGATTCTGAAGGAAGTGACTCCTGATCAGTCTAACCAAGAAAATTGAAGAAGCAGGTATGAGCACAGAACTTTCTCCCATCTTCAACAATAGGACCATTTGGTCGGTCTGTCTATCTTTCTTTTCTAAGGTCTCTGCATGTGTGTGTGTCTTTGGCAGATGTGTACTGGTGCTTGTGGAGACCAGAGGAAGAGTGGGATCCTCCGGAGCTGGAGTTGTTGCTGAGAACGAAACTCTGCATAAACTGGAAGTGCTCCTAGCAGCAGATCCGTCTCTCTAATCCCCGCTGGTCTTTTCACTTCTTTTTATTGTTGCTTTTGTTTCTGTTTTGGAAACGTGGTCTCACTAAGTATCTCCAGTTGTCCTGAAACTCCCAGGGATCCTCCTGCCTCTGCCTCTGGAGTGCTGGGACTACTGGTGTGGCCGCGGCCCCTAAATGACCTTTTATTTTAAACAGCACTAAGGATGAGAAGACTGCAGATGTGGCCTCACAGACTGTAGTTCCTGCCTTTGACAAACAGGCACGAAGATCAGCAGCTCAAGATCATCCTTGGTCAACCTAAGCTTCATGAGAAAGTGTCCCCAAATCCCTGCTTGCCCCAAATGAGCATTTTACAGTACGCCTTTGAGCTTGTGACTTTCCCCAGCTCACCAGCCCACTCTTACTTTGGGGAGTATTGATTCTTTATTTTTTCTTTCTTAATAAATTGTGACTCTGATACTTTAAAAAAGTTGTTTTAGGCCAAGTGGTGGTGACGCACACCTTTAATCCCAGTACATAGGTAGCAGAATCAGCAGATCTCTGAGTGTGAGACCAGCCTGGTCTACAGAGTGAGTTTTCTGACAACTAGGGCTACACAGAGAAATCCTGTCTGGAAAAACTAAAACCAGCAACAATGCTTATCTCTGAAAACATCTTTCACTACTAATTACCAATTAGCATGCAGTGTCCCTTGTGTTCATGATGTAAAGATATGCAGTTGCCATGAAAAAGAGATGGGGTTAATAGTGATGCTACTTCTACATGCCATTTATGTGAATACTGATAAATATTTGCTTGGTTGTGTTTTGTTTTTTTGAGACAGGGTTTCTCTATGTAGTCCTGATTGTTTTAGAACTTGCTCTCTAGACCAGGCTGGTCTTGAACAGAGGTCCACCTGCTTCTGCCTCTGAAATTAAAGGCACTTGCCACCATCTCCAAGCCTTTATTTTGAGAGAGATTTCTCTAGGTAGCTTTGACTGTCCTGGAACTTGCTATGTTGACCAGGGTAACCTTGAATTTACAGATTCACCTGATAGAATTAAAGGTGTATGTAGCCGCACGTGGCTCTTAGAAATCATTTTTGCAGTGCTGAAGAGATTAAGATCAGCAGTTAAAAAAAAAAAAAAAAAACAAAAAAAAAAAAGATCAGCAGTTAAAGAGTATTGCCTGATATTCCAAAGGGCCTGAGTTCAATTCCCAGCAACCACATGGTGGCTCACAACCATCTGTAATGAAGTCTGGTGCCCTCTTCTGGCCTGCAGGCATGTACACAGATAGAATATTGTATACATAATAAATAAATAAATAAATATTTAAAAAAAAGAAATCATTTTTGCAGCCAGGTGGTGGTTGTGCACGTCTTTAATCCCAGCACTTGAGGGGCAGAGGCAGGAGGATCTCTGTAAGTTCAAGGCTAGCCTGGTCTACAGAGTGAGTTCCAAGACAGGCCCCAAAGCTACAGAGAAACCCTGTCTCAATAATCAAAAACAAAACAAATCATTTTTACTTATGTAAATAGATAATGCCGGTGGTAATGGTTCACTTGGGTAGCAGAAGCAGGTAGATCTCTGAGTTGGAGACCAGTCTAGAGGGAGTTTCAGGACAGCCATGACTACACAGAGAAACCTTGTCTCAAAAAACAAACAAAAACCCAAAATAAATCAACAAAAGATATGTAAGAAGTAACAATGAATAAATTGCATAACAAACAATGTGTACTGTTTGCTGTTTCTAGACAGGGTCTCACTGTGTAATAATCCTGGCCACTATGAAACATGGACTTTGAAGCCCAGGGACTTCTTGAACACAGATCCACCTGCCTTGGCCTCCTACATTCTGAGATTAAAGATGTGCACCACAAGCCTGTTGGGACTGCAGAAGCTGTCAGATCCCCTGGAACTATAGTTAAAAGTCAGATATGGGTGTTAGAAACTGAACTCCAATTCTCTGCAGTAGCAATAAATGCTGTCAACTGCTGAGCCATCTCTTCAGCCCCACAGAATGGGACCTAATAAATTAATAATACATTGACTCTTTGCGGGAGGGATTTCAGGACAGGGTTTCTCTGTGTAACAGTCCTGGCTGGCCTTGAACTTACAGAGATCCGCCTGCCTCTGTCACCACTATAACCACTATACGGCAAACAATTTTGTTTGTTTTTTGAAGACGAGGTTTCTGGATGTAACTTTGAAGCCTGTCCTTGTACTAACTCTGTAGACCAGGCTGGCCTCGAACTCACTGAGAAACCCTTGCCTATGCCTCTCAAGTGCTGGAAATTAAAGGCGTGTGCCACCACTGCCCAGCTCATTGAATCCTTTTTGAGATAGGATCTTACTATTCTATAGCCTGTATTGGCCTCCAAGGTGCAATTCTCCTACCTCAGATTCTTAAGTGCCTAGTGACCTACAATGCTCAGCTGTGGATTTTTAAAACACATGTAAATGTATTTACCTTAATGTTTACATATTTCCTTAAAACTGTGTGTAGGTTTCTGGGGCCTAAGACATGGTAGGTGAAAGGTCTGCCACTTACCTACATTTCTTTTTATTTTTTATTTTTTGTGCATTGGTGTTTTGCCTGTATGTATGTCTGTGTGAGAGTCAGATCTTGGATTTACAGGCAGCTATGAACTGCCATGCGGGTGCTGGGAATTGAACCCTGGACCTCTGAACGAGAAGCCAGTGCTCTTAGCTGCTGAGCAACCTCTAGCCTCCATACATTTCTGATTTAATAACTATTTTTCATAATGTCTGAATTTGCCATTTTGGATGAGACTTTCTATAGAAAATTAAGTGCTTGAGCCTGACTCAGATTAAGCTGGGAAGCAGATGTGTTTATATACATATTTACATGTGTGTCCAGGAAATGTGTTTCCCTCATAAAATCTATGTTCACTATGGAAAAATGGAAGTCAGAAGACAGCTAGCAGAGTCAGCTCTGTCCTGAGGATGGACCCAGGTCCTCTGGCTGGGAGCTCATCTCCTTTACCTGAGCAGCTAACTTGCTGCCTTTCCCTTCTCTATTTCTAAATTAGGCTTTTCTTTTATAAGTACATTTGTGTGGAGGCACACGCTTGCCGAGCCATCTCACTGGTACCTGCTTCCATTTTTGAGAGGCCCAACATAACATGCTGTTAAGAGCAGATTCAGGAATAAACCTTTCAGATTTAGACTGAGAGGTACTTAGTAGTAGTAGTAGTCTTGAACAGAAAAGTAAGGTTAAAAACAGTAACCACAGTAATGGTGAGGATTAAATGAATTAAAGAATACCGGAACAAACCGGGCAGTGGTGGCGCATGCCTTTAATCCCAGCATTTAGGAGGCAGGCAGGTGGATCCCTGTGAGTTCGAGGCCAACCTGGTCTACAAGAGCTAGTTCCAGGACAAGGTACAGAGAAACCTGTCTCAAAAAACAAACAAGCAATAACAACAACAACAACAAAAAAGAATACTGTTTAATGCACACTGGTGTTTGCCTGCATGTATGTCTGTGTGAGGGTCAGATCCCCTGGAACTGTTGTTGGTGCTGGCAATTGAACCCAGGTCCTCTAGAAGAGCAGTCAGTGCTCCTAACTGCTGAGCCATCTCTCCAACCCGTTTAGAATCTTAACAGAAACTAAGGATCAGGTCTTTCTTTGGATCTCCAGCTTCCAAATACAGAGACTTGTTCCCGACTAACTCTTATAACTTAACCCTTTTATCTATGTTCTGCCACATGGCCTGTTACTTCTCAGTACCTACTTCCTGTGTCTGCCTGATTCTTCCCTTTTCTCTCTCCCTAGAAGTCCCGCCTATCCTCTCCTGCCTTGCTATTAACAATTCAGATCTTTACTAAACCAATCAGAAAGTGCCTTAGCAGAGATGCATCTTCACAGTGTACAAAAAGATTATCCCACAACAAAGTATTTGAATGAAGCATGAGGTGGTCTTTAAAAGGAAAATAAGTTAAAATGTGATGTTCCTTCTCTTCTGATGATTATGTTACCACTTGGCAACAGACCAGAAACCACTACACCTAAGGTAGTAAGAAATCCAGAAAAAAATAAAAATGGAGGTGGTGATATACACCTTCAATCCTGCACTCATAAGAAAGAGAGTCTCTGTGAATTCAAGGCCAAGGTGTTTGTCTCAATCCCTCCCCCAAAGAAATGGTACCAGAAAGACACCTAAAGCCTACTTAAGCCTTCTTTTCCCAGTATAACTTACATTATCTGAAATCACCCATTTCAAAGGAACAGCACACAATGAAATTTCAGTGCATTCTCAGCTCATGCTTTATTGCTAAAAACATATACATACAGGTGCAGTTTCACACTCACAACAGTTCCTTTTCCAAAGAGTCAAGATTTGTTCACAACTCCCAAGGATGCATAGATTGAGAAGCTGCCTTTTGAAGGGCAGCTCTTTCCACATCGCCTCACACACCAGTGGAGCAATGGGGGTACGGCACATGGAAGAGCGAGCGAACAGCAACACCTGTGCCTGAAGGGCAGATGCATCACTCTCCAGTAGATTACTTGAGTATTCTTAATCCTTTTTAATTATAGGGATGGGTGGTTTATGGTTAATGCCCAGACTAGTAACATGCTGACAGAGTATCTGTCTGATCCTTGGGATAAGGTATCAGTGCTGAGGACTGGCCCCAGTGTTCAAGAGCTATATCCAATGCAAAAAACAAAACAAAACCACATTTAAATTAAGGACACAGAACACCATTACCAAAGGTATCAAAACTGTTTTGTAAATCATCAGTAATCATACCCATAGTCTGACTTTAAAGGTGTTTATAAGTCTGAGCTCTACCAAATACACAGTTAATTTTCCTGTGTGATGTTTTAATTTATTTTAGTGGACTATTAGGAAGAGTGTTAGAATTAAAAACTCTGACCTTACATCTTTACTGGCCGGCAGATATATCAGTAAGTGCAAAGAACATTTCTATTCGGGACACATTACACACCTCAATTCTTGTATTCTGGTGGGAGGCAAACACCACACTGACAACTCTAATCCAGTTCTGAATGATGGAAATTACCATCCTAGGTGACATCCATAGCAAAGCACCACAGCACACGTTAAAGTAAATTTCCATCATAGAACATGTAAATTGGAGTAAACTCAGTGAAACAGTTTTATTTTAATTTAGGTCTTTCACACATTATAAATACTCATTATTTGTCAAAACTATTTGTTACTTGGATCATTCCCAAGTCAAGAAATCTAAGAAATTCTTATGTGACCACCATGGTTTTTGGTAGTGCTGGCAACTGAACCCATTTTCTCAGGTAGATGCTCTCCCACCAGTTCACACTTCTGCTCCTTTTACTGCTATCACAAACCAATGTCTTTTCACCCATAAATGTCTTTTTTTGGAAGAAGAGAAACTTTTCCTGCTCATCAGGAACCAAAAGTTTTAGGCAAGATCCACACGTTGACCAACTCATCTAAAGTAAAACTCTAGCTCAACAGTTGCAGATACAGGAATGGCAGTACTTCTGTAACTCTGGAGTCCCTCTTAGTGCTGGGTCCCTTCCAGAACAGACGCCTCACTGCTGAAAAATGCAAGTATGTGCACACTGATACTATACACCTCCAAGATACTAATTTGTGAAGGAGTCCAGCTATGGCACTCAGGCTGGCTTCTGCCTGTTCAGGGACTACAGAGCATATGTCTGGCTTAATCTATAGTTTTAAGAAACACCAAACTAAGTCTATATAAACCTAATCAGACAAGTCCCACAGCTAGTTGTTTTGCACACTGAACACTTATTTCTGAAGTAAGGTGACCCTATTTAGGTTATTTCCCGACTCTTCTAAAAGCCTGCACCATCCTGTTTATAGCATCTTATTCAACATGCTCAGTTTATCTTTTATTTGCAAACATGCTTGGGAATAAATAGAGCTAGGAAACAGTGAGCACTGCTTGCTGTATTCCTAACAGTTTGAATGTCTTAAGATTGCCCCTTATTTATCTTGTACTTCCCATTTTTCAAGGGAAGACAATCTATAATTAGAAAATAATTCAAATAAAACCAAGCTATTGGTTTAAGAATCTATTGCTTCATTATTGATAAACGCATGTAGAAAATTGCTAGTAACTACCTAAAAATGAAAAACTTCAACCATGCATTAGAATGCTAGCATTCTAAAATCAGTTATGGGCCTGCTACTATTGCTTATACTTTTGACCAGGCCTGGCTTTAATAAACATGCAAACCCTTTGATTCAGAACTGTGGGAAAAGCAATGATACATGCAAAACTTCAACTGAATATGTCAGTCAAATTCCTCAGAGATGCAGTCAGGTACTACATCTACTACAATGCTGCTTTAAAACAGAAACAAGTCATATACAAAAAGACTAAACTTAAGACTTCTATTCAGTTCTAAAAGGCTTAGCTAGAAATCCTGGCCCTTTGAGGGTAAAGAATAAGTTTAAAGCCCTGGGAAAAAGAACCGAGGTGACTGTCTATACAGAGCAGAAAGTTTTGTTGACCACTTACTGAGAGCTATAGGGGTAGTGAGGATACTTAGGCAGAATGGTTTCTTTTCTGATTCACATTAATGAACAGCTCCCCGGGGAAAGTTAGGAGCAGAGTTACAACAATGTAAACTCAAGCAGTAATGCCCTGAAATTTAGCATAGCCCTCTGCATTTTAAAACTCTTGGCCAAGGGGTTCTTCCAAAATGGTATAATTAATAGCCAAGCGATGTTCTAAATAAATTAGAGACAGTTTGCTTGCACCTACAGCACCATGAGAATGTAAACTCCTGAAGGCTAGGGGGGTCTCTTCATATTTTGCATATCACAGGTACATAAAGAGTAAACAAGAGACTATAGGAAGATTGAATACTAATTAACCACATTCTTTGAGACGACAAAATCTCGTAACATAGTTTTACACTTAGAACATGGCTGTTAAGGGTAATCTCTGATGTAACTGAATGAAGCCATGTCTCCATGATCATGCAGCTGTCTTAATATTGCTTGGTTGTCCCATAACCTAACATGGACAGTACAGGACATTTAAAGAGAAACTATGCTCAGTATAGCCTTTTCCCCTACCCTTAGGCTTGTAATAAAATAATTCATTAGAGTCTGAGATCTACAAAACTACTCCTTTACTTTTTTCCCCTGGGAAAACAAAGGAACCCAGTCCTAGATCTTTTCAGATGTTCAAGTGGCCACAATGGACATGAGGTAAAGGAAGGGAGGAGTCAGCCCAGTTCCACTCTTACGTCTTGATGTGAGCTGTGGGAGTCCTCAAATCAAGAAAGAATGAGTTTGCTGGGTTTTCCTTGTTAAAAAATATGCAGTCGCACACAGGCCATAGCTTCATCACATACATATATAAGACATACAGATAAATCCAGTCTGGGGACTGCCCAGCCATTTTGTTTACCTTTAATTCCTAACTTCCTTGATCCCAAGTACAAAGAAAAGCCAGCAAGTTCTGGAAGCGCTCCACTCTGCCCCCCTCCCCCAACCACACAAAAACAAACTTTTCTTTTTGATAGAGCAGCTAGGAATGCAATGAACAAATGTTACAAAGCATACGTCATCCCACACAGTAAGTGACTGTTAATGAAGGTGGTTTCATTGGGACTGGAGAAGCACATCTGCTTCCAGATTAAGCACTAGATGTAAACTCTGGGAAAACTGTCTTTAACGCACATGAAAGTTGATATTTTTCACGCAAATATATTCATATACATATATTCATAGTTTAAATGCTTTTAAACCTAGGACTTTTTTCCTTTTGTGGACTCTGTAAGACTGCAGAGGCTCACAAACTCAAATATTAATCACTCAATCATGCAGCTTTGTGAACACAATTTACTATACACGCAAAACTGTTATTGCTACTAAGTTCCAACTCTTCAACATTTTTAGTTCATTTATGGCTTTTATTTTTTGCAATAGGAAATATTCTTTCCTATATACTGTGCTACTCTATATGCATTAATTTTTCAAGACACCCCCCCCTCCCGTTTCTTAAATTTAAATGGTTTTCAAAAGCTAACCACCACTTGATATTCTACAAGGATCTATTCCTGGGTCCCTGGATAGGTAATACTAGATTCATACCTAGTTTGTGTGGGGAAAAAAAGTCCCATTAAAAAGTTTTACGTTTTCTATCATACCAATATAATACAATTAATAAGTCCTAGGTTCTCTTTTCTTTCCTTCTTTTGGTTTTCTGAGATAGGATCTCATGTAGCTCAGGCTGAACTCCAGCTCACTATGTAGCAAAGGATTACCTTGAACCCCTGATCTTGCCTCCGTGTCCCAAATGCTGGGATTACAGGCATGCACCACCACACCTGGCGGGACTCTAATTCTAAAGTTAAAATAACCACACCCCTCCCCCCCAAAAAGAACCCTCGACACTCATAAAACTGTTACTTCCAAGTTTCCTAGGCAGCTTTTAGAGGTAGGAATTCCATTTTACAGAGAACTTTCTTTTTCAAAACAAAGCAACTACTTTATTTCCATAAGGAAAGTAGAAAAAAAGCCTAAAGTTCAGGATACTCCAAACTGCTGACAAGGTTCTGCAATTAGCACACATGCTGCAAACAGGAAAGGAAACGGCCACAAATTAATCATTCCAAAGCAATTAGCACAGCATCTTGGACATGCGAAGTAGAAAATAATTCTCTGGACACAAAATAGGGAAAATGAATCCAAGACATACAATACGACGATAATATAAGAACAAGCTAGCTTCAAACTGAGAGAGCAAGACAATCATGGGATGAGGCCATGCTTTGAGGACTGAAAAGCTACAAAGGCAGTTATTTCTAGATACCTCGTGAAAGGCTAACATTTCCCCGCGCACAATGTTTTTCAATGTGAACCCACATTTCTGTTCAGACATTAGTTGTTTTGGCCTTTATCTCCTATCCCCAGGGAAAATACATTATTTTCATACATGGGAAAAGCAAAGGTCTAGGATTTTCCACTCTTTTTACACTATTAGCTATTATCAATATTTCATCCTGAAGTTTAAAAATGATACTAAATTCATGCACTAACCCCTAACATGGCACTACAATATGCTACCAAACACTACTGCTTACAAAACTATACACATCTCAAAATGGAAGACATTGGTGATTTTGTTGTTCTTTAACGACTTGTAACACTCGTCCACAAGTATTAAAATATACACATATATATATATATATATTTATATTGCACATATCCCGTTTTTGTTTAGTAACTCCAAAAGAAAAACTGCCAGCTCACATGGAGAAGGGAGGAGGCATGGCTACAGATGGAAGCACAGCTCTAAAATGGTAGTTTTTGCTGCTATTAAGAAAACCCAAGCAAGACTATAAAATGGAAATGTACCACACACCAGGTAACTACAGCTGCAATGTCCCCAGGCTGAAAATGCCATCTGGTGCTAACAATGCAGGACACAAGAGCATCTTTGACAAAGTGCACTCAACATTTGGAGGTTTAGGCTACAAACCTGAAGCATCTGGAGCAAAGGTGACATCGCCTTTGTGGTGAAAGCCCTGCCTGTGGGCCTTACCCCACAAAGTTGCCCAAAAGCAAGGTGTAGGAGGAATCAGGCATCTGTGAGATGCTCTCAGTCACCAGCTGGCTTCCATTTCTTCTAAATGAAAACATAAGTGGCTGGAGTACTTAAAGAGAAAAATTGAGGTTATATTTTTGCTTCATTTTTATACCGGGTCTGTCATTGAGGCTGGCCTTGATCTTGTGGCCAATCCTCCTGCCTCAACACCCAAAATACTGTGGCTCAAAGGTGCGGGATACCAAGTCCAGCAATCTAGGTTACCTTTAACTCTTTTCTCTAGAGCTTTATCATTGTTTGATCTCACTAAAAAGTTATTTATAAACTGGGTGGTGGTGACGCAGGCCTTTAATCTCAGCACTCGGGAGGCAGGGGCAGGTGGATCTCTGTGAGTTCGAGACCAGCCTGGTCTACAGAGCTAGTTCCAGGACAGGCTCCAAAGCTACACAGAAACCCTGATTCAAAAAACTAAAAGAAAAAAGTTATTTATAATAAGTGTTTTATGAAAAAGCTTTCAGTATAAATTCAAATTTGTTGTCCAATTTGACTAGCCATTAGATTGTTCAACATTTCCTACTTTTGATCATTTCTATGACTCAAATTCACAACACTGAGAAATGGTTCCAGAAATCAGCTCTAACAGCACCTGTTTCTAAGTTATCTTGCAAGTTTAAAATTCCTTCTCTACTGGCAACCACTGCAAACAACAGTTCCCTCCCTTGTAAAAGCCTGGCATCCCATAAAATGGACTTCTTTGATTTGGAAGCAAAGAGAAGTTTTCATGATGGTTCCTCATAACTGTTAGTTAAAGGAAAAAACAAACATGTATCATTTCTTATGGGAACTAGTTTTCTTGAGGTCTCTCCATCCCCGAACCTGAATTTCCTTTAAATCTACAGTGACTGGCAACAAGATCCATACTTTTTATTGGACCTGCTTTTATTTGAAGTTTTGTTCAGATCCTGAATTTCTTCTAAGAATATAGTGAACTGACCATAGGACTGGAAACATTGCTTCTGAGGTCCATTTTCTGGTAAGAAAGTTCAATTCAAACTGGGAAAATTTACCTGAGTCCCAGAATTTCAGCCTAAAGTTATCGCCTAGAAAAATAAATGTCTAAGTACCCATCTTGGGATGAAGGAAAAGTTATTTATGCTTTTATAAAAATGCAAGTACATAATTTAAAAATGCTGAAATGTCAGATGATGCTACATAAGACATTGTTGCTTCTTTTTCTTAGAAGAAAGGATTTATAAGCCGAGTTATTTTTCCTTCACTCCTGAATACCCCAAGTTGAAGGCAAGTGACACTATCCAGGTCCATCACATAACACACATGCCATTTTCTTTCCAGTCACAGTCACATGGAAAACCAAAGTCTCATTGATACATGTGATCCCACAAGAATACAACCTCGAGAAACAAAAGAGTGGTGTTTTATTTTTCTTTTCTGCTGTTCTTGAGATGGAGTCTCTCCATGTGGCCCAAGCTGGACCTGGACTTCTGATCTTGCTGCCTCAGCCACCCAAGCACAGACAGCCTGAGGCAAGCATCACCCCAGCTTATTCTCTTCCCACTCGGAACTAGCCGCAGGCCCAGCTGGTCCTTCCTGAGAAGGATGAAAAAGCAAAACAGACAAAATCCAAACACTAAAGACCATCAAACTGTCCAACGCCTTTTCATAAATGACAGCTTCCTTTTCCAGGAGAAAAATCTTATTTAAAAAATGTGGTTTTATACACATAAAAATGTGAATCTGCACACAAACTGCAATGGTTTCACTCCCATATGAAACCAACCCTGATATCATTCTTGCCTTTTGCTTTTATCATACTGGAGACTTGTTTTCGTTCAGGAAATCTGTCAAAGGGTAAATCAGGATTTAGATGTTTCTTTCACCTCAAATAATAATGATATTTGGAATTTACTATTAGTCTTTACTGTGCTTATAATAGTGTTAAAACTGGCAGACTTAAAAAAAACAAAACAAAACAAAACCTGAAGTCACCCACATTTGGTATTTGATTTGTTGTTTGGAGCTTTAAAAGGAAGAGTCCACGATGCATAACCTAAGCACCTGTTCAAATTAACCATCTTCCTTCCACTTGCAAACGGTGTCTTTCTACTGAAGCCAAGTGCAACAGAATAGCCAGGCCGGTCGGTGTCCTCTTGAAGTCAGCAGGACAGCTGCACCCTTGGGCTTCTTGGTGCAGTCTCCATTCCAAACCACGGAGGTATCTGTAGAAAACATCCGCACTCCACTAGGGAAGTGGCTGGATGAAAGAACCAGGATGCCGACTGAGAAGACAACATAGAAACTCCTGGAAAACATAGCAAATTTAAAATAGGAAGATTAGGTCAGGGACCCCTATATAAACTTACTTTTAAAATCAGTATTTAAAACATACATACACATGTGCACATGAATATTTTATTATTCATGTTATATAAGTAGTTAGGTGTGCTGAATTAACTTGTATCCTGTAGTACTGAAGCTGAGGCACGGGAATTAGAGTTCAAAGCCAGGCTGAGGTAAGTAGTAAGA